GTTTAACACAGGGACATAAAGGCATGGATGTTACGACATAGTTTAACACAGGGACATAAGGGCGTGGATGTAACGACATAGTTTAACACAGGGACATAAGGGCATGGATGTAACGACATAGTTTAACACAGGGTCATAAGGGCATGGATGTTACGACATAGTTTAACACAGGGACATAAGGGCATGAAAACAACGACATAGTTTAACACAGGGACACAAGGGCATGGAAACAACGACATAGTTTAACACAGCGACATAAGGGCGTGGGTATAACGACATAGTTTAACACAGGGACATAAGGGCGTGGGTGTAACGACATAGTTTAACACAGGGACATAAGGGCATGGATGTAACGACATAGTTTAACACAGTGACTTAAGGGCATGGAAACAACGACATAGTTTAACACAGGGACATAAGGGCATGGATGTAACGACATAGTTTAACACAGGGACATAAGGGCATGGATGTAACGACATAGTGTACTGTGAGGAAATTAGGGCGTGGGTATAACGACATAGTTTACTTTGGGGAAGTAAGGGCATGGGTACAACGACAAAGTTTACAACAGAAATGTTAGGGCATTCGTGACAGTGTGTGCATGTTTTAAGTCAAGCGCAGTTTTAGGAAAGGAGAGTTTGCATTTTGTGATTGCATGTTAATATACAGTTTGCGCGTCATAGTTGCGTTATTTGTTAAAAGACATAGCACCTAGTGCCAGCTGGTTGTATTGTTATAATGCGTTTGCAACCCCAAACACTTCCAAATGGAAAGTTGTCTTTGCTTCAAAAAGTGATGGCGCACATTTGCAAATCAAAACCCCAAATCAGACAATCATGTCTGTACTCTATTATCATTGACAGGACGCTAGATACAGCTAGACTACGACATTAAACATTGGTAACTCTCTTGACTAATTGTCCGGGTAGGGTTAAATACAAGCGTAAAACCCTTCTATAGCTACAAGAAATCTCTGCTAAAAGCAGAGCTGGAGTTAAACCTTTTGCTCCCTCGTTTAGCATAAAGAAACAGATCGGCAAGAAGGGGAGCACCTTTGGCGCCCATGGGGCTGCCTATTTCTTCATGTCTTACACCCTTAGTATAAATGTCTTTTATAAAGAATTTTGTAAGAATTATTTCTTTATATTGCAGTAGATATATCACTGCTTTGCTGTTGTTATTTTAAATATATGTCGTACACCCAACAATAACGATGGAATTTGTATGGATAATAACTTCCCTATTGTTTATAACGACGTTTCAGCCGAATGAATGTAGTGTTTTGAGGAATTGAGTCTTTTAAATTTAAATGATTCTTTAAAGTTGGTTTATTTGATGTTTGGGTTTAAAAAATATTTCAATGATGAACTTATCATCATAAGCGAGTGAGTGAATGTTGTGTAACGTTGCATATTTAATCTATATCACAGCCGCTTGACTATACGTTCGGAACCAGACAAATCACAAGGGTACTGGGGGTCTGTTCTGCCTCGGACTCGACTCTTACGACAAGCACCTGGAACAACCAATATGGACAGACCGAACGACCAAGAGTCCAGATTCGTGTGTTACCTTTTTAAACTATGCATTAATATTCAAAGCACATAGCATTTAGTATTCGTCGGTACTCGGAATTAGCATGGGACCAAGGGGCAGCTAGAAATCAAACGACCAGAATCAGGACTTAAGAAATTACACTTGGTGGAAAAGAAATCCAAGACAACAGGCAAGGCTTGATTTTTTCATGATCTCTTAAGATATTTATGATATGACTTTAAAGAGTTCAATATTACCAGGCTATAAATCTGATCATTCAGTAATAACTCTTGAATTCTCAAACAGTTTAAGTCAGGAAAAAGGACGAGGTTATTGGAAGCTTAATACCTCATTATTGTGTAATGTTGATTATGTTAAAATGGTGAAGGACATTATGGAAGAAACTATAACAGAATATTCTTGTAAAGAGCCAGGAGGTAAGATTGGTGATGGGGATAAAAACTGAGAATTAACCATTGGTGACTGTTTATTTCTGGAAACTTTATTAATGAAAATCAGAGGTAAAACCATATCATTTGCAACATATGTTAAAAAAAAGAGGCAAAACCAGACTAAGGAACTGGAAGATATAATAGAAGAAGTAGAGGAAGACATTAGGAATAACTTTCAACAGATTAGTGAAAATAAATTGGCTGAACTATCCAAATATAAAATAGAATTAGAAAAAATAAATGAAGAAGTAACAAGGGGAATACATACTAGAAAAAGGATAAAATGGTATGATGAAGGGGAAAAACCAACAAGCTACTTTTGTACTTTGGAATCTAGAAATTATACAAGTAAACTCATAAACACTTTGATTGATAATAAAGGGGAAGAAATTACTGACGGGGACTTAATAATAAATGAACAAAGAAAATTTTATGAGAAGCTTTACTCATTACCAAAAGAAAATGATACTGAAAATGCTGAGACACTTAAAAATGTAAAAAACACCTAGTCTAAAAGAAGACTAAAGTGAAAAAATCACTTTAGATAAATTATCAATGGCAGTAAAACAATTGAAAAATAACAAAAGCCCAGGAGTAGATGGCTTTCCAATAGAATTCTTTAAGTTTTTTTTGAAAGACTTAAAAATATGGGTTTTTAGATACATAAACGAAACTTTTGAAAATAAGGAAATGACATATACAATGAAAAGGGGAGTCATTACGTGTATACCCAAGGGAAACAAAGACAGAAGATTTCTAAAAAACTGGCGTCCAATATCATTGCTGAATGCACTTTATAAAATAATTAGTACATGTATTGCAAATAGAATGAAAACAACTTTAGATCACCTAATTCATGATAATCAAACTGGCTTTATGTTTGAATGGAAAAGACTAAATAGACCAGGAATGTTGCTGCTGATTGATTTTGAGAAAGCTTTTGACACAATATCAAGACAGTTTATTTCCAGGGCATTAGAAAAGTATGGTTTGGGGCCTTATATGATAAAATGGATACACCTACTAACTAATAATGCATCCTCTTGTGTAATACAAAACGGTCATATGTCTTCTTTCTTTATTACCGAAAGAGGGTGCAGACAAGGAGACCCAATATCACCATATCACTTTCTTTTTGCTGTGGAAATCTTAGGCTGTATGATAAATGACAATAAAAACATTATAGGAATTGTATTGAATGAGAAAGAGTACAAATTAGGTCAGTCGGCAGGCGACACACAATTATTCTTAAACGGAGAGGCTGACTGCCTGTATGCAGCAATAAATATACTTGATTGTTTCTTTAAAATGTCTGGACTTAAAATAAATATTGATAAAACAAAAGCCATATGGATCGGGTCGAAAGCAGGGAGCTCAACAAATATTTGTGAAGACTTAAAGTTAGACTGGCATATAGGCAATTTTGAAGTGTTAGGAATTATTCTCAACCCCCATTTGCAAGATCTATGGGTTATCAATACCCGAAAAAGACTTGAAACAATAAATAGGTTATTGGCAAACTGGAGAATAAACTTGACTCTTATAGGTAAAATTACTGTTATCAAGTCACTGTCTCTCTCAACTCTTGTCCATATTTTTATGGCACTGCCAAACCCCCCAGAAGATTTTATTACAAACTTAAATAAAATTTTGTTTAGTTTTTTTATGGAATAATAAACCAGATAAAATTAAAAGGCAAAATCTGAAAAAAATTATGCTGATGGTGGGCTTAGAATGGTGGACATTAAAATATTTATAGAATCACTAAAATTATCTACTTTAAGAAAGTATTTAAAAAAGAGTACATGTGATAATCCCTCAGTTTTTTCTTTCACTGATATGATAAATTTAGGAGTCAATGCTGATAAATATTTATGTGTGAAAACCCCTTTTTGGAGAGATGTTCTAAATGTTTGGGGAAATTATGGCAGAAAATTTACAACAAATTCAGAAAGGATCTCCGAAATTCTATCACAGCCCCTATGGCTAAATCACCAATTTAAACATGAAAACTACATAATTAAAAATTGGTTTAAAAAGGGTATAATGACAATTAAGGACTTATGTAATGAGAATGGATTTTTGCCATTTGAAATATAAAAGTACGTTATGATATACATGGTACAATATTAGATTATAATAAGGTTAAACTTAGTATACCTAAAGAATGGAGAGACACTGTCAATCATTATATCAAAATACCAATATATGACTTAAATCTTAGTCCACAATTGAGGTATATATTTATACCCGTTCAAGGATCTAGGTACTTTTGTGATAGACTAATTACAATAACAAAACCACCCTTAGTAAATGGAAAATGGCAATCTCTTTTTGATAATGATATTCAATGGAAAGAAGTTTATTCAAATCTAAAGATACTAAATTGATTGACTTTCAGTTTAAGTTTATCCATAGAATAATTTACACCAAAAAAGAATTGTTAAAAATGAAACTAGTTGATAATGATATTTGCTCCTTTTGTGACTTAAATGGCGAAAACCTTATACATGTATATTGGGAATGTGAATATGTTAAACACTTTTGGAGCAAACTGGAAACCTTTTTAAGCCTTGACACAAATACTAGGATCTCACTTACCAAATACTCAGTTATTTTTGGATTCGACAAACACAAACTTTTACTTAATCATATTATAATATCCAGTAAAAGATATATATATATATATATATATATGTATCAAGTATTAAGGGTGAGAAACCAATTTTTGATAATTCTAAGAAAATACTAAAAGAGTCAGCGATGAATGAAAAATTCATTGCCACAAAAAACAATGGCCTATTACAATTTGAACGAAAATGGGGAAAAATCCTACACAAACAAATATAATAATCATGCCCTGTACAATAAGGCTATAGATCAGTTATGCCTCAAATAGCAATACTATCATAATTGTTTTAGTTATATCTGACTATCGATGCAACCTTTCATGCTCTTCTTGAGGCATATCGTGTGTGTGTGTGTGTCTGTGTGTGTGTGTGTGTGTGTGTGTGTGTGTGTGTGTTTCAATTATGCATGCTATATTTATATCACATGAAATGTACATCCATGTAACGTATTTTCACTACAATTGACTAAACCTACTGTGTAACCTCTGAACCTGATGTACAACCCTTCGAAAGGAATAAAAAATGTCCAAAAAAAACCAAAAAAAGAAATCAAACGACCATGTTTACCATGTTTTTTTATTTTGAAACTATATTTCAATATTAAAATCGCATTTAATCTTTTTTAACCAATAGCGATAGAAATAGACGAGTTCATAAAAAACGTACGTTGACTGGGGCAAATATCTCTTCAAGCGCACCAGTGTATTGTTTACGTGTATTGTTGATGCCATTCGAATCTTTTGTGACATAATGTCGGAATGACGTCACACTAGAAACGTCATACCTGAAGATTGTTGACGTCATTCGACGCTCGAGCTTTTTTTAAGACGGTGATCGAGATCAGCAAATTTCAAAAGGATTAAGAAATAATGGGTGATAAAGAAATTATTACACTCGCATGGGAGTCAACTGGTTTTACGAAGATCGTGTAAGATTTCATGTATTACCCTCGGACTTGCTCGGGAACTGCAAGAATTCTGACACTCGTTTCGTAAAACGCATATGACACACATGCCCGTATGATAATCTTCATGTATCTTACAACATGTACATGCGAGTATCTAACACGACAATTTATTATGCATATTGTCATTCATAAATTCCATAATCAACTACCAAACCCCACTATCACTGAGTTCCTGTACATAGTTCAGGAAAATGTACGCTTTCACGGCATTCACTCCCAAAGCGTAATGTGTTCCATCAAAGCTACGCACGCCGTCTGTCATATTAAATGTCTTTAAAACGGGTACTTTATATACCTTCAGAAACTTCTCCATGTCGCGATTGAATCGAAGGACGTGAGGCTTTGACTGTGTATCTGAACGTTTCATAATTCCTGCAGCATTCATATCAACAAACAATACCTTGGGCGAGAGTATTCCAATTTTTCGTAACCTATCGAACGTTGGCTTCAGATATTCCATCTTCACTTTAGTTGAGTTATAATGCTCATTCATACCTATGCCAATTACAAACAGTGTCTTCCGGTAAGCTAAGCCTACAATGACGTCATTGATTAGTTCTGTCCAACTTTTGCCGAAGTTATGTTCCATCCAACTGAGCGTCACTCTGCCTCCGCATATATTCGATGGCCTTGAATCAAGAAACCTCCTACAGTTTCCGTCATCGAACATATTCATCCCAGAGCATCTGGATTTCCATGCTGAAAATGGTAAGAAGGCCACTTACAATTTTGATCGGTACGTACGACTAAATATTCATGTGGCATTTAGAAGATGTGAAATTGAAGACAGACAATCCACTTTACGCCCGTTACGGAAATTCTTACATACCGCTGATGGGAATGAAAAGTAGATGTTGTAATAAGATAAATATAAGAGTTTTTTTGCATATTGCCTTCTTAGGGAGGGTCATGACAATAATATATGACGTTACCGTCGTTACGCAAATACTGACCTCGGGATTCTGTGGGTCTAACACCGCCGTCTTTGAAATTGCCTCGAACCGTCATCAGCAAGCCTGTGTAGATGTGTCGCACGAGGGAATCCCCAAGGAAGCGGATGGTTCCGCCGTCCAACAACTGACAGATTTGTTTGGCACTGTATCGTCGTTGTTGGCACCGGGGATCGGATGGTATCCAGGTAGAATATTCTGCGTGAATCTGCTGTCGAATATCCCAACAGTTTTTACACCGACACTGGGCTTCTGTCTTTTTAACACACTTGAAGTTGTAGCAGCAAGGGGTCGGTCCTGTAGGATTGCAAATTGCTCGAAGAAAAGTCGTTACGTTTGTGTAGCCTATGTTACCACATCGACTGTCATATCTCTGGAGGGAATTGGGTACTCCTTTGTGGTTCAAGGCCATGTGATAAAACCGTTCTGATTGTCTACGTTGAGCTTCGGTAAGCTTTCCCGTCCTCCAATGACCTTTGGTCATGTTTTGCAGAACGCTTGGACATCTGGAGTTATAACTGTCCACTCTTATAGGATTAGGGGGATGAAATGCCTTATTTTTGGAGTCCAAAGATATCTCCAGGTTTCTGACTGGTTTAAAATGAGAGCTGATATAACCCATTACAAACAGAGTTGTGCCAAATACTGCCACTATCATGCCCCGAAATGAAGCAGCGTTTCCTTTTGCCATGGTTGCAATGCTAAAATAGGCTTTCCCACAAATACTGGTTGGGCATTGTACCTCAGCTGCATTTATACACAAACGTACATATTAAGTCTTAGCTTCAACAATGACTAGAAAACCATTGCTGCATGTGTCATTAATTAAGTTGTGACTTAATCCTCATTGTTTTCAAAGGTTGGTGAACTAATTTGGTGGGAAATAAAAACCGTATTATGTCCGTCTCTCTGTCAAGGCAGATATGTGTAGTTGTCAAAACATTGCTAGAAACACAATAATGCCCTGCCAACAATAATACCTCAAACTAGTATTACTTCAGAAGGACACTGAATGGGGATTACTGTCGACAAGACAATTTGTGCTAATCTGTTTAATCCGGCTACAATAACGTGCGCCATTAATCCATCTGTCTGTCGACGAACCCGCCAAACATGAGTCACGAAAGGTTGCACGTGTGTGTCTCAACAAATTAAATAATTGATTAGATGGTTAAGTATGTTGCATTTCTTTTGTTGAAAATGGAAACTATTATCCCAAGCGTTTTGAATGACAAAGTATTTTTCAGAAGATGAAATATAATTAAAATCATAGTTTAATGTTTTATTTGTTTGTCTGTATTTGTTTATTTTTAAATTGCTGAACATGATGGAGGGGTGTGGTGGCCTTGTTTTTGAAACTTTCTCTCGTCACGCAGAAGATCCGCTTCGATTTAATGTGTGAAGCCCGTATCTGGTAAACCTAGCCTGAAATTGCTGGGATATTGATAAACTCGGCGTAAAACCATACTCACTCACTAATAATGATAGTAAATGTACAGTCTCGAATGTAGAATGATTATCATGGTGGAGTACTCCCGTGTTCATCACGTGCATTTTACACATCTTCAAAATGAAGATGAGAGATAAACGTGTCAATGTGTTTTACAAATATGCTCATGGTTATATGCTTAAAATTTACCTGAGTTTAATAACAACCTCTTCACTTCTGTATGGCTTTGAACACGCGAACACCCGGCGTCATCGATTTTCAGTGATCCATTTATAGAATTGTAACCACTATTTTTCCTTTTTCGCTCAGTGGAATCTGATTCTGCAGATAATCGATACTGATTGTTCTCTAGCGTTGACATTTAATATTTGACACAATCCACTTACGCCCAATACTTACGCCTCGAACGTTTGTTTAGAATAGTTGTTTCATGTTTGAGTACAAGCCGCCGTGTTCCAATTTAACAAGGTTTCTTCACACTGACCCTATTGGTTTCCCTTTACGTTTTTTTAGAAGGTCGTCCTTAAGGTTGTCCTGCATTCTCAATTCCACACTCAATGCTGAGAGGTCTAACAGGGGTGGCTAGGATTTTGTATCGAGATCAGATATCTTTTTTGGAAAACACCTTGAAACAATGTCATTTTTTGTAGCAGGCAATTTCTCCATTTTTCCAAAGACTGAAGCTCAAATATTTTTTTAAAGAATATTCGGAGACAATATTCGATGAAATCCCAAAGAAGTTGACCTCTTGAAGGGTACAATGACATAGGGCATTATAGGGCATGGATACAACGACATAATTTAACATGGGGAAATAAGGGTATGGATTTGGCGACATAATTTACTGTTGGAAAATAAGGGTATTGATATAACGACATAGTTTATTATAGGGAAATAAGGGCCTGGATATAACGACATAGTTTACTTTGGTGAAACAAGGGCATGGGCACACCGACAAAGCTGGAAATAAGGGCATGGAAACGCCGACATAGTTTACTTTGGGAATGTTAGGTGGTGGATATAACGACATCGTTTAACACAGGGACATAAGGGCATGGAAACACCGACATAGTTTAACACAGGGACATAAGGGCATGGATGTAACGACATAGTTTAACACAGGGACATAAGGGCATGGAAACACCGACATAGTTTAACACAGGGACATAAGAGCATGGATGTAACGACATAGTTTAACACAGGGACATTAGGGCATGGGTATAACGACATAGTTTAACACAGGGACATAAGGGCATGGAAACACCGACATAGTTTAACACAGGGACATAAGAGCATGGATGTAACGACATAGTTTAACACAGGGACACAAGGGCATGGATGTAACGACATAGTTTAACACAGGGACATTAGGGCATGGATGTAACGACATAGTTTAACACACGGACATAAGGGCATAGAAACCCCGACATAGTTTAACACAGGGACATAAGGGCATGGTTGTAACGACATAGTTTAACACAGCGACATAAGGGCGTGGGTATAACGACATAGTTTAACACAGGAACATAAGGGCATGGATGTTATGACATAGTTTAACAAAAAAGACATAAGGGCATAGAAACACCGACATAGTTTAACACAGGGACATTAGGGCATGGATGTAACGACATAGTTTAACACAGCGACATAAGGGCGTGGGTATAACGACATAGTTTAACACAGGGACATAAGGGCATGGATGTAACGACATAGTTTAACACAGGGACATAAGGGCATGGATGTAACGACATAGTTTAACACAGGGACATAAGGGCATGGATGTAACGACATAGTTTAACACAGGGACATAAGGGCATGGATGTAGCGACATAGTTCAACACAGGGACATAAGGGCATGGATGTAACGACATAGTTTAACACAGGGACATAAGGGCATGGATGTAGCGACATAGTTCAACACAGGGACATAAGGGCATGGATGTAACGACATAGTTTAACACAGGGACATAAGGACATGGATGTAGCGACATAGTTTAACACAGGGACATAAGGGCATGGATGTAACGACATAGTTTAACACAGGGACATAAGGGCATGGAAACACCGACATAGTGTACTGTGAGGAAATTAGGGCGTGGGTATAACGACATAGTTTACTTTGAGGAAGTAAGGGCATGGGTACAACGACAAAGTTTACAACAGAAAAGTGAGGGCATTCGTGACAGTGTGTGCATGTTTTATGTCAAGCGCAGTTTTAGGAAAGGAGAGTTTGCATTTTGTGATTGCATGTTAATATACAGTTTGCGCGTCATAGTTGCGTTATTTGTTAAAAGACATAGCACCTAGTGCCAGCTGGTTGTATTGTTATAATGCGTTTGCAACCAGGAATTGCCCCAAACACTTCCAAATGGAAAGTTGTCTTTGCTTCAAAAAGTGATGGCGCACATTTGCAAATCAAAACCCCAAATCAGACAATCATGTCTGTACTCTATTATCATTGACAGGACGCTAGATACAGCTAGACTACGACATTAAACATTGGTAACTCTCTTGACTAATTGTCCGGGTAGGGTTAAATACAAGCGTGAAACCCTTCTATAGCTACAAAAAATCTCTGCTAAAAGCAGAGCTGGAGTTAAACCTTTTGCTCCCTCGTTTAGCATAAAGAAACAGATCGGCAAGAAGGGGAGCACCTTTGGCGCCCATGGGGCTGCCTATTTCTTTCTTAAATGTTTAATTTTGTAAGAATTATTTCTTTATATTGCAGTAGATATATCACTGCTTTGCTGTTGTTATTTTAAATGTAATGAGTGTCTCATTGATCATATATGTCGTACACCCAACAATAACGATGGAATTTGTATGGATAATAACTTCCCTATTGTTTATAACGACGTTTCAGCCGAATGAATGTAGTGTTTTGAGGAATTGAGTCTTTTAAATTTAAATGATTCTTTAAAGTTGGTTTTTTTTATGTTTGGGTTTAAAAAATATTTCAATGATGAACTTATCATCATAAGCGAGTGAGTGAATGTTGTGTAACGTTGCATATTTAATCTATATCACAGCCGCTTGACTATACGTTCGGAACCATACAAATCACAAGGGTACTGGGGGGTCTGTTCTGCCTCGGACTCGACTCTTACGACAAGCACCTGGAACAACCAATATGGACAGACCGAACGACCAAGAGTCCAGATTCGTGTGTTACCTTTTTAAACTATGCATTAATATTCAAAGCACATAGCATTTAGTATTCGTCGGTACTCGGAATTAGCATGGGACCAAGAGGCAGCTAGAAATCAAACGACCATGTTTACCATGTTTTTATTTTGAAACTATATTTCAATATTAAAATCGCATTTCATCTTTTTTAACCAATAGCGATCGAAATAGACGAGTTCATAAAAAAACGTACGTTGACTGGGGCAAATATCTTTTCAAGCGCACCAGTGTATTGTTTACGTGTATTGTTGATGCCATTCGAATCTTTTGTGACATAATGTCGGAATGACGTCACACTAGAAACGTCATACCTGAAGATTGTTGACGTCATTCGACGCTGGAGCTTTCTTTAAGACAGTGATCGAGATCAGCAAATTTCAAAAGGATTAAGAAATAATGGGTGATAAAGAAATTATTACACTCGCATGGGAGTCAACTGGTTTTACGAAGATCGTGTAAGATTTCATGTATTACCCTCGGACTTGCTCGGGAACTGCAAGAATTCTGACACTCGTTTCGTAAAACGCATATGACACGCATGCCCGTATGATAATCTTCATGTATCTTACAACATGTACATGCGAGTATCTAACACGACAATATTTGATGCATATTGTCATTCATAAATTCCATAATCAACTACCAAACCCCACTATCACTGAGTTCCTGTATATAGTTCAGGAGAATGTTCGCTTTCACGACATTCACTCCTAACGCATAATGTGTTCCATCAAAGCTACGCACGCCGTCTGTCATATTAAATGTCTTAAAAACGGGTACTTTATATACCTTCAGAAACTTCTCCATATGGCGATTGAATCGAAGGACGTGAGGCTTTGACTGTGTATCTGAACGTTTCATAATTCCTGGAGCATTCATATCAACAAACAATACCTTGGGCCAGAGAATACCAATTTTTCGTAACCTATCGAACGTTGGCTTCAGATATTTTATCTTCACTTTAGTTGAGTTATAATCCTCATGAATACCTATACCAACAACAAACAACTTCCGCCGGTCAGCTAAGCCTTCTGTGACTTCATTTATAAGCTCTGCCCATCTTCTGCTAACGTAATGTTTCTTCCAACTGAGCGTCACTCTGCCTCTACATATATTCTTTGGCTGCGCGTCCAAACGCCTCCTACAGTTTCTCTCTTCGAACATGTTCATCCCTGAGCATTTGGATTTCCACTCTGAAAAAAATGTAAAGAGGCCACTTGATTGGTAGCTATGACTAAATAGTCAAGTGACAATTACAAGAGGTGTCAGTGAAAACAGTGAGTGAGTGAGTTTGGTTGTACGCCGTTTTTAGCAATATTCCAGCAATATCACGGTGGGCTTCACACATTGTACCCATGTCGGGAATCGAACCCGAGTCTTCGGCGTGACGAGCGAACGCTTTAACCACTAGGCTACCCGACCGCCCCAGTGAAAACAGAGTGCAGATACTCGTACTTCATCAGGCAAGTCTCTCAAAACATATTCAATGTTTTATGGTGTTTATCATGAAGCTAGATGAAATGTTTACACTGGCAGATCAGGAACGACGCCACTAAGCTATTGCTTCACAAGAAAGCAATATTTCCCTGGAACATCGCTGCACATCGTGTGTCAGCTCAATGGTTTAGGATGTATTTCAACCCAGGCATTAATGAGTATGCTCAATGTCTCATTTCACAGATTGTACTCATAACATGTCTACATCTAGATATGAAAGGTGCACCATTTACGACTGGATGTGTTTCTAAATAGATGTTTGTTTTTAATGTATCATTACATTTCATAGCGTGTTTAACGAATTAACTACCACAGATCTTACACGATGCTGTCGCAAAGCCATCGAGTCACATTGTCAAGAAGAATAACGTTTCATTACAACAAACTTTCTAATTAGCATTCTTTTTACATGACAACTTTGAATTGTTGAGGAAAAGGCCCAAAGGCCCAAACTTTTATTCATTTACCCAAAAGGTATTCCATTGACATATATGTATTTATGTTTACACAAAGATGTCCCCTATCAATATAGTTATATTTATATTTCCTGACAAAGGTTAACTGAGACAATTAACCTCATTACGCAAATACTTACGTGGGGATTCTGTGGGTTTAACACCGCCGTCTTTGAAATTGCCTCGAACCGTCATCAGCAAGCCTGTGTAGATGTGTCGCACGAGGGAATCCCCAAGGAAGCGGATGGTTCCGCCGTCCAACAACTGACAGCTTTGTTTGGCACTGTATTGTCGTAGTTGGCACCGGGGATCGGATGGTATCCAGGTAGAATATTCTGCGTGAATCTGCTGTCGAATATCCCAACAGTTTTTACACCGACACTGGGCTTCTGTCTTTTTAACACACTTGAAGTTGTAGCAGCAAGGGGTCGGTCCTGTAGGATTGCAAATTGCTCGAAGAAAAGTCGTTACGTTTGTGTAGCCTATGTCACCACATCGACTGTCATGTCTCTGGAGGGAATTGGGTACTCCTTTGTGGTTCAAGGCCATGTGATAAAACCGTTCTGATTGTCTACGTTGGGCTTCGGTAAGCTTTCTCGTACTCCAATGACCTTCGGTCATGTTCTGCAGAACGCTTGGGCATCTGGATCCATAATTGTCACCGCTTATAGGATTAGGGGGATAAAATGCCTTATTTTGGGACTCCAAAGTTACCTCCAGGTTTCTGACTGGTTCAAAATGAGAGCTGATATAACCCATTATGAATAGAGTGATACCAAATACTGCTACTAGCGTGCCTCGGAATGAAGCCATGTGTCCATTTGTCATGGCTTCAAAGAAAAAAGAGCATTCCCACGACGTAAACCTGAAGAGAGCCTGGTGCTATTGCTTTCTTGCAAGTTATGTAAGGTTCAATTCTTGTTAGGGCTCTATAAATCCTTTTCTTCTCAACTTAATCTGTGATCTAAGGTTGTGTCAGCACCAAAGCAGTTTTTCACCAAAGTAAATCTCTTCGAAATGATTCACTTTCCCACACACAATGTGTTTATACGACCAAACTGAAAACAGATTAAAGTTTTCTGTAATAAAACTGATTTCGTCATCTGCATAAACTCATCTGCAAGATAAACCTACCCATACACACATTCCCATGCATTTCATCATTCACCAATTCAATCATTTAACATACAAGACAAGTCATCAATGAAACTGGGGTTATCTACAGGGATTAGCATAATCATATCATCTTCTTTTGCAAACATGCCCCGAAATGCAATCATGTTGTAATGACTTGTCCAGTAGCATGTGAACATTCTTTGAAATCACAAGAAAGAAAATTATCCATCTTTTTTAATTCATGAAGATGGATAACTTCGTCGGGTTGAGAGACACTAAAATATAAATAGTATACCATCTGGTTTACCCTTAACTTACAGGGAGACTTGAAAACCTATTCCATCGGCGTTGGCCAGATACTGGTTGCACATGAAAAGTTTTAAAAAGATATTATGATGGTTTACGTATGTTTAATTTCATTTTTTTTAAAACGGACCAGCAGACTATTATCCCAAGCAGTTTGTATGTAATGGTATTTTACAGAACATGACATGAGTGAGTGAGTTTGGTTTAACGCCACTGTGGACAGTATTCCAGTTATATCACGGCGTATCAGCTTACATTGGGAGGAAAGCCCAAAGTAAAGAAGGTCTCACAAGTTTACCCCTTTGGTGAAACCCACGAGTGTGGTGCTCACAAACCAAGAAACATAATCGGGCCAAACCGATATTCGAACCCACAATCATAGGTTTCTGGCGTGTCTACGGGACGCAACAGTGCACAATGAATGGTAGAATCGACTCCCTACCATGATAATATGTAACATCTCTTATAAAGAATGCCAATCACGTGAACTTTACACATCCTCAGAATCGAGATAAGAGATAATGGTGTTTTACACGCACACACTACACTGCCGAAAGATAAAGGCTCTCCTAAAATGACAAAGAAAATGTTATTACTCGCCCGTTGAAGATACCAATGTTTAATACGACGAGCTTGTATTGCACATTGTTTAATACCAAAGCTTGTACTAATAAACCACGGGAACTTGTTTCACTAACAAAAATATTGAAAACTCTCAACATCCCTGGTCTTATTCAATTACATTGCGTGTGGAGATGATGTGTCACTGAGAGGAGCTTATGCCCATTCGAGGGTCGGTTGGGTAGCCTTGTGGTTAAAGCGTTCGCTTGTCGCGCCGAAAACCCGGGTTCGATTCCCGACATGGGTACATTGGGTGAAGCCCATTTCTGGTGTCCCCCCACCGTGATATTGCTGGAATATTGCTAAAAGCGGCGTAAAACCATACTAACTCACTCACTCATTTATGCCCATTCGATGACCCCAGCAACACTGATTTGTATGCAAAGGTTTTTATGTGCAGACGTAGACACTGGATTCATGACAATAAATAAAAACAGTTTTCCTTTGGAGACGAGTTGATTGAAACATACTTCAGCTAGGAAAAGAAAGCAGCCTAAATTCCGTTAAAGATGTTGGTGATGCTTCACAATGTGTTTGTGTCTTCACCTTTTACACAGAACGCTTATTCACGACCATTTCTTTCGAGGAAACAAAACTGAAATATTTTCTTTATATAGCAAACGGTCATTTTGAAACTTAGCCCAAGAAACATTGTGTCTGAATGTAAATATGAAATGAGATTAACCATCCTCGGTTATCCGCCCAAACAGACTCCATAGAGCACAAAAGGCAAAATAGTGGTGAAATTGATATAAATGGAACACGAATCAAAACATCTTATGTTACACCATTTTGTCAGCATTTATGAACTGTAAGAATATTGAAATACTGTGTCTATAAGTATAAATGTATCTCTGTGTAGGATACACGTGAAATGTGGAAGACTGCGGCCTGTGTGTACTGGAGTGGAGTTCATTTCTGTTCTTATAGTCATAGCATTCTTAAAGGTCAAAGGGGTTTTAGTTGGCTTTTTAAAAGTTTTATATGCATTCTGCTGACTGAACTGCTAACATGTTTATTCTGGTGTAGACACCCTAACTTACAGTTGAAGACTTGCTCATGTTTACAATTTGTAATCAGGTCTTAGGTCTTAGCTGAGGAATTCCATCGTATTCCATCGTGAGGACTTTTTCAAAGTAGGAAATAAACATACACCATACACGTAGCATATCCACTATCCCAGCACTTAAAGTTAAACACACAAACAAACGATTTGAATACTGGTTAGGAGCGAACACATACCTTTATAACTAGTCATATTCATATTTGTAAGTTTATGTTATATGAGTATATTCAATACCATACAGGTCATATATCAGTAATATATCTGGTGAATATGTAGACAGGTCATGGTTGTTCAAATTTAAACAAGTGACTTCAGTAATAATTGCATCCAGACTGTTTTTGGCGACTTCAAAATCCTTTAATGAAGGGTGTTAAATTAATTTAGTTTGACTATATAAGTGGAGAGGGCGTGTGTCTGTCTCATCTCACATTTCATCTCACATTTCATGTGACATTACATCAAGACAAGCTTTCGTGTGAAAATCTCTTTTCACCCCAGATTCACAGCATAGACAAATCTCGAAAGTTTGACCACTATCGCTGCTAGGTGAATATATTTATGATCACTGAGTTTAGATATCACCACTGTTTGTGTATTTGTTACTGACCACTAGTATCATATTATATAGTGAAATTGAATATTGTACTTCCACTCTATTGTGTACTGCCATTGTAATTGCTTTCGGCAAATTGCATTGATTTGTAAACGTTGTTAGTTTGTAATACCAATTTCAGTCCTTTGAAGATCCTGGTATCACATTTTTGCATTTATATTTCATAAAATAAATACATTTTCAATTTGAAATGTCTTCTTAAAATGACGTTTTAAACCTTTATGAATCTTTATCTGAATAGTTTGAGACACATTCCGCATGTTTCAGTCGGATGATGGCCCATTTTGTTTGTATACTGCACACGGCATGGGGTCATTTGCCCCCTCTCGCCCCTTTGTTCCTACGCCTATGATACTGCTCAACATACAGCAGTGCTTTAATTCTATTTTTTTAATGTCTTGCGCGTCTCATTACCAACACCGAATAACGAAGACATGAATCGTTAATGGATAACAACTTCCTTATTGTTTTGTACGAAGTTTCAGCTTTTTGCTTATAAGAATTGAATCATTTCAATGGTTATATAAGGCTAGCTTTGTGTCAGGTTTTGGTATCAGTTATGTTTCATTTGATTGGAATGTTTGTTTCCTTCTCTTTAAAGCCGCACTCAGCAATATTCCATCTATATGACGGCTGTCTGTAAATAATCGAATCTGTACCAGACAATCCAGTGATTGATGTCATGAGCATCGATCCACGGAATTGAGATCGATGACATGCATCAACCAAGTCAGCGAGCCTGACCATCCGACCCTGGAATGATGTACACATCACAAGTGAGCGAGCGAATGCTGTTTAGGATGGAACCCTATATTATCGCGGTAGTTAATTTATAATGGTTCGTAATGGCGCACGCTTACAGACCTATTAAATATGTCATACGCAAAGTGTTTCTTGTTCTTTGTTCATCTTTTATGACACATGTATCAGGATTGATCGATGCTGATTTTCTTTAATGTGTTCGGTAAACAAAGTACCTGTCATTAGCGACTTAAAGGCGGGCAACTCCATAGTATCGTGGTATGGCTATTTTGTGGTGTGATACGTGTGGATTAAGTGGTTTACATCACTTTCGGTTTTTGATTATGCATCATCAGTATTCATACGACCTAGTTTGGGTCAGGGGACTTCGTCTAAACTAAATGGGTTCTTTTGTAATCAATTTCGAATGAAGGTAGGGGTAATTCCACTTCAAAGCCATTCCAGAAACTATCATAATAAAGTTAACGTGTATACTAACGTGTAGCCGTGACCAGCGACCATATAATATATATGGTCTTTGCCGTGACATATCGCAACGAGTCATGTATTCGATCAAGCGAAGAAATATCGTGCTTAGATTTCATAAGTAAACAGTCGATAGGGGGGAGTGGATTACGTGATTTCTCGATAATATAGAGCCCGCGATAGTAAAGAGTCATACTATAATACCACATATTCCAGCTTTATCACAACCACCCGACCATACACGAGGAACCAGACAAAGCACGAGAGTAATGGGGGTCTGTTCTTCCCCCGAATCGACTCTCTCGTCAAGCATCTGGAACAACCAATAGGAACAGACCGAACCACCATGGATACTGTTTCATGTGTTTATTTTGAGACTATCTATAAATATTCAAAGCCCATATCACCAAGTATACTCGGCACTCGAAGTTACCGTGGGACCAATGCTCCTACTAGACACATCACACTATGTTACCAACCGATCCTCGTACTCGGAATTACGGGGTCAACAGACAGATAAAAATCAACCAAAAAGGTGTTCCATGTATTTATTTTAAAAATATATATAAATATTCAAAGCGCATATCATCTAATATTTTACAACACCACAAAATGTTTATTTCACATGACTATATAAGATACATACTGTCAATCGTATTTCCATATTTAGCTACCAATGCCCACTATCACTGAGTTCCTGTATGTAGTTCAGGAAAATGTTCGCTTTCACGACATTCACTCCTAACGCATAATGTGTTCCATCAAAGCTACGCACGCCGTCTGTCATATTAAATGTCTTTAAAACGGGTACTTTATATACCTTCAGAAACTTCTCCATATCGCGATTGAATCGAAGGACGTGAGGCTTTGACTGTGTATCTGAACGTTTCATAATTCCTGGAGCATTCATATCAACAAACAATACCTTGGGCCAGAGAATACCAATTTTTCGTAACCTATCGAACGTTGGCTTCAGATATTCCATCTTCACTTTAGTTGAGTTATAATGCTCATTCATACCTATGCCAATTACAAACAGCGTCTTCCGGTAAGCTAAGCCTACAATGACGTCATTGATTAGTTCTCTCCAACTTTTGCCGAAGTTATGTTCCATCCAACTGAGCGTCACTCTGCCTCCGCATATATTCGATGGCCTTGAATCAAGAAACCTCCTACATTTTCCGTCATCGAAAATATTCATCCCAGAGCATCTGGATTTCCACGCTGAAAATGGTAAGAAGGCCACTTACAATTTTGATCGGTACGTACGACTAAATATTCATGTGGCATTTAGAAGATGTGAAATTGAAGACAGGATTGTCTTATGGATTTCAATTTTTGTTGTATTATTAATTCGACATTCTAAGTGCATATTCTCGTACTTTAGCAGGCAGTGGATAACGAATATCTTCAACGAAATGCGGGATTTAAACAATCCACATTACGCCCGTTACGGAAATTCTTACATACCGCTGATGGGAATGAAAAGTGGATGTTACGAGTATAATAACATAAACATAAGAGGGTTTTTTTGCATTTTGCCTTCTCAGGGAGGGGCATGAAAATACTAAATGACGGGTCCCTTACCGTCGTTACGCAAATACTGACCTCGGGATTCTGTGGTTCTAACACCGCCGTCTTTGAAATTTCCTCGGACCGTCATCAGCAAGCCTGTGTAGAGATGTTGCACGAAGGAATCCCCAAGAAAGCGGATGGTTCCGCCGTCCAACAACTTACAGATTTGTCTGGGACTATATTCTCGTGGTTGACACCGGGGATCGGATGGTATCCAGGTAGAATATTCTGCTTGAATCTGCTGTCGAATATCCCAACAGTTTTTACACCGACACTGGGCTTCTGTTTTGTTGACACACTTGAAGTTGTAGCAGCAAGGGGTCGGTCCTGTAGGATTGCAAATTGCTCGAAGAAAAGTCGTTACGTTTGTGTAGCCTATGTTACCACATCGACTGTCATGTCTCTGGAGAGATTTGGGTACCCCTTTGCGGTTCAAGGCCATCTGATAAAACCGTTCTGAGGATCCACTTTCAGCCCTGGTAAGCTTTCTCGTACTCCAATGACCTTGGGTCATGTTTTGAAGAACGTTTGGACATCGGGATTCATAATTGTCCATTCTTATGGGATTAGGGGGTTGGAATACTGTATTTTTGGAGTCCAATGTTACCTCCAAGTCACTCATTGGTTTAAAATGGGAGCTGATATAACCCATTACAAACAGCGCTGTGCCAAACACAACTACCACCATGACCCGGAATGTCTTTGTCATGGTTTCAATGCGAAGATAGTTTTCACCTTGAAGTTCTGAAGAAGGAAGACGTGGTGCTGGCGTTGTCTTGCAAATTATGAATAATTCATTTCTTCTTGATTTGTCTCCCTCTTCGCATCTTGACTATTAGTTGTTGTTTGTCAGCGCAAAACTGGGATTTCATTCGGCGCACTTAACCTCTCTGACCCAATTTCTCCTCATATATTAAGCCGACACGACGAAAACTGAAAACAAACAGTTGAAATTTCCTTGAATGAAATGGACAGACTTAAGAAACGGACATGTCAGCTTTCGCAAGTACATGTGTATTGACAGTCTGTCTCGTGTCTCAAATGTTCATAATAAGTGTATTGAGAGTTATTAACTTAGGAATTTAGCAGTTGTTATGGCAGGTTTATTTTTAAGCGTGCATCTCTGATCAAGATAAGTTCATTACTTTCGGGACATGCTTACCATTTTGCGAACACCTGGTGTCATCTATGATTTCCAGTGGTCCATTCATATAACTTTTGCCTTTCATGCCAAATGAATCTGTTTCGGTGAATAGTCTAATATTGTTATTTATTCTCTTTCATTGACAGTATATATTTACTGAAACTGGGTCGATGTTTCTGCTGAAGCTCCAGTTTCCATTAGAAGCTCAGTAGCATTTGTCTGCGCTTTCAACTACAAAAGCAATGTTTGGGCCTTGACATTAAAACTGGCCCCTGTGTAAAAAAAAACTTGCAAAAACAGATACATTAATTTTTTTAACGTGTTTGTTTACTTATAAGCAGCAGAATCTCTGCACTTGAACACAGCAGACGTAACTCATAATTAGCATTTCGTTTTTACTAGTCTCAACAAAATCAGTAAATGCACTATCGTGTCGCTGGATTTTCTGGTTCATCGATTACTTGATTGTATTGTTTGTATACAGGAGGTCGTCGCATGGCAGGAATACTGCTGTCGGCCTCATGCGACAGATACTTACTTGTTATGCAAATTGCGGGTGCCCTGTCACACCTGGTGACATCACTGATTTTCAGTGGTCCATTCATATAAGCTAGTTTGCCGAATCTGTTTCGGTGGATAATACTTGTTATTTCTTCTCTTGCATTGACATTTCATATTTCAAGAGATAAAGTATACCTCTGTTTCACTTGTGCCCATTACATTATGTCAGAAGATGGAAACATTTCTAAAACGACAGATACTATCTTTGACTGTCCTACCACTTACAACTTCATAATAGGCGACATGCTGGTCGTAAGAAGTCGTGGGGGATCGGGTGGTCAGGCTCGCTGACTTGGTTAATGCATGTCATCGCATGCCAATTGCGTGGATTGATGATCATGATGTCTATCACTGGATTGTCTGGTCCAGACTCGATTATTAACAAACCGCCGTCATGTAGCTGAAATATTGCTGAGTTAAACAACAAACCAACAAAATTTCAAAATATTTCTGGCAAATATCATATGTACCACGTTCTCTTCTTTTTATCTTGTTTTCATATTCTATATCGCCCTTGCTTAGTGAATTAAAGCTGGTCATACATAAATAAAAACTTTGAAAAGAAGCATACACACAAGTATACAGAGTAAAGCTAAACTATCCCTGAATATTCACGAACGTTTATGAAATCCGATTACCACGTGTATTATTGGTCTCTGGGTATGAGTGAATGAGTTCATCAGTGAACAGTATTTCATAGAGTGTCTGCTTGATGTGAGCCCGAAGAGACGTTTCCCACTTTGGTGATATCCAAGAGCATGGGTATGGTACTGAAAAACCAAGAAATCTGGGCAAACTGGGATTTGAACCCACGATCATGTGTTCATGGCACATCTGGCACAGCGAATTTCGCCCCTAAGACGACTGGGCCACCAATGACCAATTTATTAATAAATTATTGACTTCAATATTATTTCCGTTTATGGAGGTAGAAATAGCATGCTTCTAAGTCTAGACACATATACATGCACATACCATCTCTACTTATTTAGTATGCACATCGGATTTTTCGTTTAAACCTCCACAATAAACGTACAAACCGGCGTCCATAAAGCGCAAATCTGAATAGTAAAACGATTTGAATAAGAATAAATAACATGCCTCTATAACTAGTCATATATATATTGGTAGTCATTGGTTATATAAGTATAAAAATTGCTTGTGATGTGTTAAACAACAAACAGACGATTTGACGTCGACATAGCCGTGTAGGACGCTTCACACAGCCTTAAAATTGATGATTAAGAATTTAAATATCTCAAACGGTTTGATGATTAATATCTTGATATATTCAAGCTAACATTCATATAAAGTAATGATGATGTCAGTTATGTGCATAGAAACTGTCATGACAACTTTGTCCATTGAGTAACATAACTGAAACAGCCATTGTTTATATCGGGGGATATATTGTATATTCATGTAGAATATTTTTATCACTATTTTTAAATGTAGCAAGAATTTATTTTTTAAATGTAACATATTACGGTCACTGTTCTTGTAGGGAAATATAGGAATGTTATTCCGTCAACATGCTTGCTAAGCATTATTCTCATCTTGCTTTGCACTGAAAGGTTAGGTAGTGCGTAAGGAATAAGAATACATCAATACATTCCAAGCAATACAGTGACATTATATTTTGTACCATGTACACCAATATTATTGTCACAATTGCTGTTCATAAGGACAAGAAAAATCTTCTTCTTTTCAACAAAGTCAATACATAGATACCGTATCACTGTTTATTTCTAGTCAATCACTTAAGATTAAGATTCGATTGTTTACAGGCCAACGTTTTATGGCAGGAGCACTGCTTTGTCAGGTAACAAACAAACACTTATTGAACAGTGTTGCAGCACTGCTATTGTGCCTTGAACGCCCAATGGAATCTGTTTCGGCATATAATAGAGACTGGTTACTCTCTGGCCTTAACCCGACATGGGTACAATGTGTGAAGCGCATTTCTGGTGTCCCCCGCCGTGATATTGCTGGAATATTGCTAAAAGCGGCGTAAAACCATATTCACTCACTCACTCTGGCCTTAACGTTTTATATTTATACACATTGCATTTTTTATGTTATTGTAGGTAGTTTTTTTAAATAAAATTGATTCCGACATTATTGATGGAACATCAATTTGATTCTGTGTCTTGTGCCTGTCGTCGTGGTTTGCATCAATTGTTATGCTGTACATAAGGAACAAGAAATTGTCATATCAATATTGTTCAAAATAGCCATTACAGAACTAAGCCTCGTTGTTTTCTGTATATTTTAAATTTGCTCTTCTGGACAATTTTGCATCACGTTGATGCTATAACATGACTTATTCCGGTCCAGCAGTACGTTGCACCACCACTCCCTATTACGTAGCTGGGATATTTCTGGGTGTGGCGTTAAACAGCAAACAAACAAAACGTGGAGTTAGGGAGTGGTCCTCAACTTCTGTTTATACGTTTATAAAATCCAGATCCATAAAAATGGGATTGTGTTTGCTTTCCCACCGTGGCCTTTCACAGTGGTGGCGTACCTGCATTTATACCCCTTATCAAAGACCTTTAAACTCAACTGTGATATTAGACGAGACACCAGTCATAATATTTCCACACCCAAACACGCAGACAGAACGGCCTTCCTCTGTACTACGATAGACTATGAGTCTCTTTCTCTTTGAATATAGGCTTCACACAGTTGAGCATCGTTAATCATACCTGCTCAACTATTTGGACATATACTTTTATTGATTTATTTTTAATTATCGACGTTGGGGTTCTTTTTGCAACAACAAAAAATTTCTTAGAAATACTGCTGTAACAAATTAATTGTGTCTCAATTTTACTAAAAGACTAAAATCGTTACATGTAACAAATACTGTGAGAAGATTTTATCAATATTTTATTTTCCTCCTATAAAAGACCATTACGTATTGTAAAGAAGAGTATTTGATTTATACATACTTTCCTTGGGGAATAGTGCAGAGTACACGTCAAAATCACAAACCTTTGTTTTGAATGACTTATTAATTACAAATTCAAAGTGAGCAGTTTAACATACAAGGGATATATCTATAGTAAATTATTAGATGACATGTAAACAGCCATTGAAACTCATTTGATTTAAATCTGTAATGAATACTGTAAATGTAATATTAAAACTTGGTTTTAGAATTAAATCGTTGTGATCATTTCACCGAATTTCAATGTTATATATTTATGAACGTGTCTTTAAATCAATCATATATACGCATATGCATGTGCATGTATGTCCATGTCTTACGATCAATTTTGCACCAGAAGATGCATGCACATGTACGGGTCTATTTAATCAACCTCAGTAGACTACGGTTATAACGAACTCGAGGGGACCAGTAAGTTTAGTTCGTAATAACCGTAGTTCGTTATAAGCATACATGCAACAAATGGTCGGGACTAAAAAGTAAGTTCGTTATATCCGTCAGTTCGTTATATGCGTGTTCGTTATAAAGTTGACTGTACATGTATGTAAAAGACGGTGTATAGGTGTTAGGTATGTGCGGGCGATTTTAAGATTGATGTTAGTAGCGAATTGGACAGATAGTCTAAATATCTAAAACATGAAATTGCGTTAAAACAGATTATCAATAAACCTACTAGAATCACAAATAATTGAATAATATTTATGCAATATTACAAAGTTCACGTGTTGAAATTGTCACCATAAGAACTAAGGATCGCTAGGTAAGGTGGGATTAAAGTAAGGATATGTATCCTTCCACTGGGGATCAAGTGTATGTCTTGATTTTTAACAGCATTAATACTCAGATCAAATCTGATTTATAACGTTTTCCCCGATAGTCAGAATGAAGTTTGACCCTTGCCTGTCTTGACAAGCTGTGTTATGTTCACATTCACAAATATCAATCTGGAAAACCGAATGCATTCAAAATATTATACTGGAGCTAAAACTACTCCCTAAATGTGCATGTTAAGATTAACTTGTACCTGAGATTCATGTTTGCCTGTGATGTTGACATATATATCATGTAATATACGAGGATGTGATAACCCCTGAGGGGAACAATGACCTTGACAGAGAGTAAACAATGCAACCTTGTACCATCAATCCCCAGGCGTGTTCTGAAGTTGAGTGGCTATACAAATACATACTCCCTGCATAAACAAAATGCACAGATATCCCTGTCCCCTGTTATTATAATGCATGGTATGTTTCTAATAAAAATATTTGGCAGTGCTCTCAGTGCGCTAACGACATTTAACGACAACGACCTTTCAGACAATATGTAATTGAAAGAGAAGCTACGCTTTCAACAGTATTCCAGTTATATCACGGCGTGTCAGCTTAATGTGGGAGGAAAACCCGAAGTGATGCAGGTCTCAGACGTTTACCACTTCGGTGAAACCCATGAGCACGGGTATGGTGCTGACAAACCTAGAAACCTACAATCATAGGTTTCTGGTGTGCCCAAGGGACGCAACTCTGCACAGCGAATCGCGGCGCCTTAGACGACTGGGCCACCCGTGTCGCCACCTACCTTGGTAGGGTGCGATAATGATGAAATAAAATATCTATAGTTTTTTGGTCGGAAAAAAAATTGGAGGGAGCTTATCATGAAGTGGAGGCAAGTCTTCCGCCAGTGTGTTGCATTAAGCACGGGTAAAATAGATACCGAAATCTACATAACATAACTTAATTGACTAATACGGGGCTATTACCTGTTGTACAATTACACATAGGTTACCTGTCTCCCCTCCACCTCCACCACCACCACCACCCCCTCCTTCCATCCCCTCTCTCTCCTCTCTCCCCCTCCTTCCCTCCCTCTCCTTCCCTCCCCTGCCCTCTTTTTCTCTCTCCCTCCATTTGTCTCATCTCTTTCCCCTCCCTCCCCCTACCCCCTCTCCTTCCCTCCCTCTCTCTCTCCCCCTTTGTCTGATCTCCCTCCCTCCCCTCTCACCTACCACCCTCCCTCTCTCTCTCCCCTTCCCTCCCCCTCCCCTCTTTCTCTCTCTCTCCCCTTTGCCTCATCTCTCTCGCCTCCCTCCCTCTCTCTCTCCCTTTGTCACATCTCCCTCCCTCTCTCTCACCTACCACCCTCCCTCTCTCCCCCCTTCCCTCCCTCTCCTTCCCTCCTCTCCCCTCTTTCTCTCTCCCTCCCCCTTTGCCTCATCTCTCTCGCCCTCCCTCCCTCTCCCTCCCTCTCCCTCCCTCCCTCTCTCTCCCCCTTTGTCCCATCTCCCTCCCTCTCTCTCTCCCCTTCCCTCCTCTCCTTCCCTCCCCCTCTCTCTCCTCTCTCCCCCTCCTTCCCTCCCTCTCCTTCCCTCCCCTGCCCTCTTTCTCTCTCTCCCTCCCTTTGTCTCATCTCTCTCCCCTCCCTCCCCCTCCCCCTCTCCTTCCCTCCCTCTCTCTCTCCCCCCCTTTGTCTGATCTCCCTCCCTCCCCCCTCTCACCTACCGCCCTCCCTCTCTCTCTCCCCTTCCCTCCGTCTCCTTCCCTCCCCTGCCCTCTTTCTCTCTCTCTCTCCCTCCCTTTGTCTCATCTCTCTCCCCTCCCTCCCCCTTCCCCCCTCTCCTTCCCTCCCTCTCTCTCTCCCCCCTTTGTCTGATCTCCCTCCCTCCCCCTCTCACCTACCACCCTCCCTCTCTCTCTCCCCTTCCCTCCCCCTCCCCTTTCTCTCTCTCTCCCCCTATGCCTTATCTCTCTCGCCTCCCTCCCTCTCTCTCTCCCTTTGTCACATCTCCCTCCCTCTCTCTCACCTACCACCCTCCCTCTCTCCCCCCTTCCCTCCCTCTCCTTCCCTCCTCTCCCCTCTTTCTCTCTCCCTCCCCCTTTGCCTCATCTCTCTCGCCCTCCCTCCCTCTCCCTCCCTCCCTCTCTCTCTCCCCCTTTGTCACATCTCCCTCCCTCCCTCTCTCTCACCTACCACCCTCCCTCTCTCTCTCCCCCTCTCTCTCCCCCCTTTGTCACATCTCCCTCCCTCCCTCTCTCTCACCTACCACCCTCCCTCTCTCTCTCCCCCCTCTCTCTCCCCCTTTGTCACATCTCCCTCCCTCCCTCTCTCTCACCTATCACCCTCCCTCTCTCTCTCCCCCCTCTCTCTCCCTTCCCTTCCTCTCCTTCACTCCCCTCCCCTCTTTCTCTCTCTCTCCCTCCCCCTTTGCCTCATCTCTCTCCCCTCCCCCCTCTCCTTCCCTCCCTCTCTCCCCCTTTGTCACATCTCCCTCCCTCCCTCCCCCTTTCCCTCTCCCCCCTCTCTCTCCCCCTTCCCTCCGCCTCTTTCCCCCCCCCCCCCCCCCACCCCCCCACCCCTCTCTCTCTCTCTCACACACACATACAAACACTACTAAAAACAGGTATTCATTTGAAGCATGTATATGTCATGAAGTCCAGGTGTGCCTAAATATAAACACAACATATATTTTATGTGTATCATTAGTAGAGTGATGAACATTTAATACATGTTTATGTATTGAAGACCAGGTGTAATGGAATACGCAAACATCAAAAACAAAATGAATTTTACCTGGATCTGGAGGCGGTGTTCGGATAATGGTCTGTAGAACAGAAACCTTTCTATTTCCCCAGCGGGTTATATTAGTCAGTGTCCGGAGGACAGGGTATCCAGTGTGGCGAAATCAGATAAATCCTCTAGGAAGGTTTAATCCATAGAATACCTGCCCAAATCAAACAGCACTTTTGTTTTGTCTGGTATTTCCTCGATTACACCTTCGTGCACAGTTTCAATGTCACATGTACGGCTTTGTGTGCTGTGTGAATATGGTATCCCAGAAGGGATATTGTCACGTTGTGGCCCTTTTGGTAAAAATCAAAACTATTATTCAAACCGCGACAATACGACAAATGGTTAACATGTGCGTTGACACACTATCGCTTTTGGTTAATTTTGACTCGGTTTTCATTGTTTTTTGTAAGGGTGACAAAACGACAGTGTCCCTTCTGGGACTCCATAGTGTGATGCATGTACGCGACACGCCTGTCATTTATGCAGTCAAATTACACCATGTCGTCTACAAGGAAGTCATTTGACCTCAATAGCAAATGATGTCCTTTGTGTTATTGCATGATGGTATCACATGAGCTTCTCATCAAGCGGAACTACACCGCTTTATTTATAGTTTGAAGGTAGTGATGGAGAAAATCGCTGATCCATAAATTTGTTTTGTAACATTGTAGGCCTTTTGACTGTAGACTTCAGTAGACTCCACCGTATAGTGTGAGAACAATGTGGCAATGTGACACTAGTTTTGTTGTCAGTTAACGTATGCATCTTGGGATATACATAATAATACATGGGCAAATATCTTGTACTTATGTTTGTGTAGCCTGGTCATCCCCTGGGTCATCTCCCTAGAAATTGCATCAACTGTCAGTAAAATTATGATCACTGGACATTCTATTTTGTTTATTGTAAAGTCAGTTAATTTTGTTAGTGCAAATTCTAAAATTTACAGTTCTAATTGATGACAGATATTGCTTAGTTTGTAATATGGATTTGTGGGTGCAAAATAATTCTAGCCTTGGTGAATTAGATATAGTCTGATCCTTCTAGCATAAACAAATCTGTCTTTTCTTGCTAAAATGTATAAACAAAAGCATTAGTCTCCGACATCTTGCATCTACCATGCATCACCAAATCCATAAACACATCTGTATATATTGCAGATGGGTCCAAATTATTATAACCTAATTCATCATATTTACCTAACATGAAATTACAGTGCTTTGGATATTTGCCCGAAGGCATTCTTAATAGCTTAATCCAATACTGAATTAATATCACAACACCATGTTCATACATTATCATTCTCACCTAATACAGCAGTATTTGAAGATATGTATCCTATTTTCAAAGTATATTTACAATATCTAGTATGTATAATTTCAATTCCTTTTCATACTTCTGTATACCATATTTCCGCACCATATAGCAAATAGATAAACAACCAAACATGTTAAAATACGTATCAACGTTTACATCGGGATATTTGATATGTACTAAGACCTTGTTTGTCTGTTTAGCTAAAGAAACACATGCTGAAAAATAAGATATGTACAGAATAACACCACTTCAACATCTTCAGCATTAATAAACTATTCTTCATCTTATGAAAGAGGTCCTTCATTTTAAATACCATACCTTTACTCTTATTAATGTATACTGTTAATCCCAATGTTATACCAGTATCAATGTTATACCAGTATCAATGTTATACCAGTATCAATGTTATACCAGTATCAATGTTATACCAGTATCTCGTAACTGGTTGTGTCAAGACGAGGTGTTGTGCCTTTTCTATGTTGTATTGCATCATCAAACTCTGCCACAGTAAATGGTATATTGTACACCAGATGCCTGCTTTGAGGCTAATTTGATATCTTAAGCATAAGCATTTTTTTCTGTTTGAATTCTTTGCTGCAGTTTGTGTTACTGCTCACAGATGAGATGTGCTCGGCTAGAATGTTGGCCTTTTCTTTGACTGTATGGGCGTTGGCTAACTTGGGAATGTTTGTGGGTTTACGCTTACCACTGATTGCGTGTATTTTGCTCCAGACTGTTTTAGCATTAGGTTTTTTCATTTTGAGATTTGCAGAAGGTCTCTTTTCTAGAATCGTCTATGAGCTGTCTAACTTTTGTCCTGGCCGCTCGGACTTGGGCGAAGGCTGATTTATCCCTTTTTGACCTATTTAGGGCTTTCTTTCTCACTCTCCTAGCTCTTGCTATTTCCCTGCTCCACCATGGTACCGGTGTTTTGCCAGTTTTGTGGTCTTTTTTGGAATTGATTTTTCAGCTGCGGCAATAATTGATAAGGTGAGATTTCAGGATTATCCGAGGCAATTCCTGGGGATTTGAATGATATACATTCCTTCCTGAATTTAGGCCAATCAGCCTTTGCATAGTCCCATGTGGACTGAGGATTGGGCTGTTCCTCTAATTGCGGTGGGCTGCCTATGTAGGTGAGTATAGGAAGGATGAATGAGGACCATTGTACAGAATATATATAGTAGGTGGAGGATTAACAGTAACAACAATTATCATACATGAGTGGAATAACATGAGGAGGTAACGGCACCAGAAGGATAATTCTGTCACAACATGATGAACAGAAAACACATAGGGGGAAGAGACATAAAGCCAAGTCCACATAGGTGTGGTGATTATTGCTTAATTAGTTCACAAGGCGGATGCTTGTGGCGGCGAATGTGGACGGTTTCTGTTAATTTTCCTTTTTTACAGAATTAAGAAGTTGTTATCCATAAATTGTGTTTACTTTGCCATCCGTCAACTTCTAAGTAATACCTATCAAACAATTCACTAGTAAGATGTTACTAAAGTCACACGAAACCTACACTATCATGCTTACATTACACAAAGAGTCTGCCACGTGCACGAACACAAACAAGTATTCATACATTTTAGTGAACAGCATAAGTCGCCCAAACGGACTTACAGAGACGTCAATGTTTGTAGGAAGGTAAATATACTTTCATGGACCATTTTTTTTCAAATAACCAGCGGGGCGTCGAAATAGATGCTACCATTATTGTGTTGGATAACAAAGATTTAGAACTCCGCCAAGTTCCTCGCACTCGGGGTGTACTCCACACGTGATACATGCACTGGGCAGTTAGAGACAACAGCTTCTACACCCATGGAGACATGGTTTATCTGTTCACTCGATTTCATGAAAGGTTGGTACAATGAACGCTGACATTGTTCTTGTTTGTGGGGATGGGGCAAATCTAAAGATATATTCTATTCAGAACGGAGTCTTCAGAAGCGAGCTGGTTGTATCAAGGAACACGCAAATTTAGATTGGACACGGCTGTCCCACAGTTAAAATCATATTTTTAATCAGTTGGTTTGTAGTGTAGAGCGACTGCCAGAGAATTGAGCAATACACATAATATATGGTCCAAAACACAAGGGAAACCCTGGGCAGGTACAATTCAACGTTGATGAGCGAACCATGAAGTAAACTCCCGGGTAACAGAATGTATACACATGGACATTGGATTTGTATTGACATTCCACGGTCCAGCGAACCTCCGAGCTTGTTTGCTGTGAACGTCTGAACAGACCCAGCATTAGATCATGTGTCGGGGAGGCGATGGGGTAACCGAACGTCGGGGACACCAGATATGACCTGCACTCATTGTACCCATGTGGGGAATCGAAACCGGGCCATTTGGGGGAGTGGACTGTAGTTGCTGTGATATTGATCGACACAAAGGGAAAGTTGACTATTGAAAAGTTGAAGTCATCCCTCTTTTCATACAGATCGTGGAGATTCTTTTGTCACTGAATCCTCACCTTTAACAGACGCTCCAATGGGTGACACAGCTCAGCACAATGCATGAGCTCTCTTATAAATGCTCTGCCAAGAGGGAAATATACTATTACCCGTCGTAAATACCCGCCCCGTGGATTGTTAAGGTCCCCAGTCACCTGAGCGTATCTTTAAAGCTGAGCGAAATGGATCAGGTGGTGGGTCGGTGACTTGGTTGATTGGTCATCATTTATCCCAAAGTGAATACAATAAGTGCCGACTATGCTTGTCGTAAGAGGCGACTAACGGGATCGGGTAGTCAGGCTCGCTGACTTGGTTGATGCATGTCATCGTATCCCAAGTGCGTGGATCGATGCTCATGATATCAATCACTGGATTGTCTGGCCCAGACTCGAATATGTACAGACCGCCGTCATATAGCTGGAATATTGCTTAGTGCGACGTTAAACAACAGACAGACAGATAGAAAGTGCTGAAATGTATTTCACTGTTCATGTATCGCCGTCGGTTTCCACGTTTTTTCAGCGTTGCATAAATAATTTTCCCTTCTTCGGTTTTTAATGTTCTGACAACATGCTGTAACATAATTCTTAGTTGAAAATAATATATTTAAACCAAAAGGTAAGATCTATAAAAAATTAAACCCAACATAATTTTTTTAATTTATTTTTTTACCTTGAATAACGACCACATAGTTTAATAAATTACTTTTTTTAAATGGGATTTATTAATGAGTTCAGTTAAATTTGAAAATATAAATAATTAATGTCAGCCATATGGTAATAAAGAGTGGTCTCTCAAAAGTAGTACGTAAAGACCACCTACTGTTTTATGCACATTAAGTGGCGGGTGCTTCCGGTAGGACCGGTCATGCTTAAACTTTTCGCGAATATCGGGTATCATCAATGATGTTCAGTGATCCATGCGTATCATTTTCACCGCTTTATTGCCTTTTATAGAATGTCTTTCAGTGGATATTCGAGACTGGCTATTCTCTAGCGTTGACGATGTATATCTATTTTCGTACATTTTCTCCCCAGGTAATGAAAATGCATTTTCAAAAACGTTTTCTTATTTCCCACTGTTATCAATGTCGGTCCACCAATAGAGTCATGAAATCATTTATGTCATAAATGTTAAATAAAGTTGAGACAGAGAGTATAAATAGTTTTAACCTATAAACGATGTTTTGTGTTAGAGATTACTTATCGGTTGCGTGTTTTATCGCTGTATTTACATAATATGTAACATACGCACTTGTCACAGAAATATGTAGCGTGACAGATTGTATAGCCTCCCGGGTTGGTAGAGTAGCCTAGTGGTTAAAGCGTTGGCTCGTCACGCCGAAGACCCGTGTTCGATTCCCCACATGGGTACAATGTGTGAAGCCCATTTTCCAGTGTCCCCCGCCCTGATTTTGCTGGAATATTGCTTAAAGCAGCGTAAATCCATACCCACTTACTTCATATCCTCTCGGGAAAGGTCAGAGGCGCGACCTCAAAGTGAAGGAAAACATAAAATTTCAATAATGGAAACTCTATGTTATCAGTAGTTACCACTTTATCAATAATATGATTCTATCAGGTATATTCTTCTTACAACCGGGTGACAGTTTTGTGACCTACTTTCTTTGGGTATGAGTGTCGTCTCAACTCAGTAATTTAAGGGCGGTTGGGTTAATTGTTAACCCTTTTGCAGATCCCATTTCCAACCACAAAAAAACAACTGTGAAGCTGGCTGTGTTCTTACGCTGTGATAGGACCGGGCTATTGATAAAAAGTGGCAAAAAAATGCCCACTTTTTAAAATCATCCTGAATGGAACCAATACGGTGACCCCTTATTTTAAACTCGGATCAAGTAAAACTGACCACACACAGTAATAAATATATATAGATAGTTACCTGGAAAATACTTGAAGCCGTAAAAGAAACCGTAGCTTACTGCAAGCTAAGACTAGTTCCCTCTGCAAGCAATGATGTGTCCACTCAGTACATCCTTTACGACTGTACGAGTTCTATCAGTTAATAAAAGCCGCTGTTGTTATCAAACTCCCACTTTCTTCACAGGGACCCGGCTTTCCGTCTAAATAGGTCATGCGTGCAACGTCCATTCAGACACAGCCAAGGCCTTCACTGCATCGGATGCCTTAGAGAAGCTTTAGGACACAAGTCACGAAGCTTCACCAATTATCTCTAATTACAGAGTCCGTAGTCGTCCTGCACCATGACCGTGGAATATATTTATTTTATGAAAAAATAATAATCAAGAAATGCATACAAAAGCAAGTCTAGCCAGCTCAAGCTAGCTCTATTCCACAGGAAATCAGCATAGGGAATTTTTTTTTTTTTTTAGAGTCAAGAAGGATATTGTGTAATATCAGATTTCAGAGACTAAATGTTAGTCTAAGTCCGTAGGAATGGCCCGGAAATAAAATATATAGAGAGACAGAACGCACGTGGGGATTCAAATGGGAGAAATTGAGGGGCCCCGGGGACTAAGGGTTGGGGCTAAAAGAGTTTATAACTTGGACATGTTTAAGATCCCCACCGTATAACCATATGCACAATTGAGACTATAATGAGAGGAATGCACATATGCTACCAGGACTGGCCCTTCTGTTCATCTGTCCGGCAATCCCAAAGGAGTTAGAACCTTAACCATAAAATGCAAACCGATGTTATCCCCACCCTATAATAAACAGATACATTGTATACATTTGTTTTTTATGAAGAGAATATATACCTTTAATATGATATATCCTGGATCATAACATGGAAACGGTTAAGATCTTTATGCTACATTTGTATCTAGGGAAACACACGTTCAAGCTGTTAGAATTGCCATCCACCCATTTTAAATGCTGACAGAGTCAAAATTACGAAATATTTGAAGTATTATAAACATGTACAAATGTATATTTTGTCATGATAGCGTAAATATCCAGGTGAGCGATAAGGCCCTGTGTGCCTCTTGTTTTTATTTCGATCTAAAAAAAGCAAAAAACATTATATAAATTCGAAACCAGTATATAACACTGTACATGCCCCGCTTATACGGACTTTCCGGACGATTTTCATTCAAAACGAAATAATTACTATATAAATTTACCCGTATATACGGAAATTCAGTTTCCGGAACCGGATGGTCATTTTCATACACAAAACACTGAAATGCACACAAAATTGTCTCACTTACACTTCCGCTGGTGGTAATCCTTTGATTCGTGAGAAGTCAATTAACCAAGTGACACTAAGTTTCATTTGAGACGAGCTTGTTTACTGTACATGTAATCCCATTCGATAAATATGGCGTCTGTGGAGGTCAAAGGTCAAAGTTGTGACTTCAAACTGAGTATGGCCTGTCAACCAGCGAAACGTAAGTGACACGCAGTTACAGCACGCGAAAAAAGGGAAATTTGTCTGTGTATCAGAAACTCCCGTCAGCAAGTATGGAAACCATCAGTAAGCATTATGGCACTGAATTTGGACATACCATAGGAAAATCGACAATTGGTGACATTTTAAAAGACTAACAGAAGTGGCTTAATCTCCCGGAAAATTCAAATGACCAATCACGATCCGGTGTAGAAAAACACCAGAAGCTGGAAGATGCATTATATCTTTGGTTGTGTGACATGACAAGTCGTAATGTGCCCGTTAATGATGAAAAGCTGATAGAGAAAGGATGTACCTGTTTGCTCTGTCATCTGCCATGAGTTGCATAATTGAAGGGAAGTAACTCTTCCAGTAAGAAGCTGGTTTCAGTTATACGGAAATTCGTTTATTCGGACGAATTGTGAAATGACGCAAGTGTCCGTTTAAACGAGGCACGACTTTAATTAGATACACGTGGATTCTTTTAAGTAAAGTTGTTGTTTACCCTAAGCAATTGAAAGCAAATATATTAGTAACAAACCCTGCTAAAAGCGGAGTCCATTGTACGATTTCGGCTATATCATATGCATGCGTTTAATGCAAAACTTTGTTGTAAAACATTCGTTCATTTTACCCAAATCAAGCAGAGACAAAGACAGTAAGGCTAAAACATACAACATTTAATCACATGCCCTTCTAGCCTGTACGAGAGAGTTATTGATGATTGCATGACGAATGATTTGTGTTCCATAGATAGAATGTCCTGCAGTTATCAGTTTATCGCCGCTTTGGTTCTGTTCAAAGACAACCTCTGACTGTACCGTGGCTGGGGAATACTTTATTCTGACTGATTTTTGCAACAGGTTTCAAATCACAATTGCTTGTCTGATTGAAAAGATTATCTGATGACCCCGTCTTTTCCCATGACAGCTCATTTGATGCTGGAAATGTAGCACATGAATAGCTTTTGATGACACGTTGTGGCGATATTTGATGTCCAACACACGGGACTTTTTGGTTATTTTTATATATAATGCTAACCTGTCTTTCTTGAAAATTTTATTATCTCTTCTTTTAACGAAAACAACTGATAAAACTATTTTCGTCTAAAGACGATTTCATTGGGGAAATCACCTACCAACATCGAAATATACGACCACAGAGCATGGGGAAAAGGGAATATCTTACACAATAACATCTTCCCTAACCAAGGGCGTTAACTGACTCCAGTTTCAACCTTGCCGAAGTATGCTAGAAATTATGGAGTTATATTTTGGCTGGCCTAACGAGCCAATGCATAGTCCAATCAAAATCGCGTAACGAACTAGACTTCCCGTTCGTGAACAACATGGATTTCAACGTGCAGATTTCGATTGACTGCTGGTAATGAAAAACATGTGTACTGTCAACTGGGCGTCGACAAATAATTTACACATCTTTTCATGTTTTTTATCAAGGATAAAGTGATGTGATGCACTACCCATTTTATTACAACACAGATCTTGATTATCGATCAGATCGTCTTGACTGGACGCCGCCATTGTGTTTGAACGAAAGTGATATGAGAGATGGAATCTGATTGGTCAACAGAAGGGACATAGAAGGTTCCTAACTCATAATAATGATCACGGATGTGAAAAATGATCACAGATGTGGATAATGATTAGCATGTGGGAAATGATGACATATGTGACAATGATAATGGACGTGAGAAATCATAATGGGTGTGAGACATGATCACAGATGTAAGAAATAATGGATGTGAGAATTGATAATGGATGTGAGAAATGATCAATGATGTGAGAAATAATAATGGGTGTGAGAAATGATAATGGAAGTGAGAAATGATCACAGATGTGAGAAATGATAATGGGTGTGAGAAATGATAATGGATGTGAGAAATAATAATGGATGTGAGAAATGATCACAGATGTGAGAAATGATAATGGGTGTGAGAAATGATAATGGAAGTGAGAAATGATCACAGATGTGAGAAATGATAATGGGTGTGAGAAATGATAATGGATGTGAGAAATAATAATGGATGTGAGAAATGATCACAGATGTGAGAAATGATAATGGGTGTGAGAAATGATAATGGAAGTGAGAAATGATCACAGATGTGAGAAATGATAATGGGTGTGAGAAATGATAATGATGTGAGAACTGATAATGGATGTGAGAAATAATAATGATATGAGAAATGATAATGGGTGTGAGAATGATAATGGGTGTGAGAATGATAATGGGTGTGAGAAATGATAATGGATGTGAGAAATAATAATGGATGTGAGAAATGATCACAGATGTGAGAAATGATAATGGGTGTGAGAAATGATAATGGAAGTGAGAAATGATCACAGATGTGAGAAATGATAATGGGTGTGAGAAATGATAATGATGTGAGAAATGATAATGGATGTGAGAAATAATAATGATATGAGAAATGATAATGGGTGTGAGAATGATAATGGGTGTGAGAATGATAATGGATGTGAGAAATGATAATGGATGTGAGAAATGATCACAGATGTGAGAAATGATAATGGGTGTGAGAAATGATAATGGGTGTGAGAAATGATAATGGGTGTGAGAAATGATAATGGATGTGAGAAATGATCACAGATGTGAGAAATCATAATGGGTGTGAGAAATGACAATGGGTGTGAGAAATGATAATGGTGTAAAACATGATAATGGGTGTGAGAAATGATAATGGATGTGAGAAATTATAATGGGTGTGAGAAATGATAATGTTTGTTAGAATGATAATGGGTGTGAGACATTATAATGGATGTGAGAAATGGTATTGGTTGTGAGAAATTATAATGGGTGTGAGAAATGATAATGTTTGTTAGAATGATAATGGGTGTGAGACATTATAATGGATGTGAGAAATGGTATTGGTTGTGACAATGATAATGGAAGTGAGAAATCATAATGGGTGTGAGACATGATCACAGATGTGAGACATGATCCCAGATGTGAGAAATAATAATGGATGTGAGACATGATCCCAGATGTGAGAAATAATAATGGATGTGAGACATGATCACATATGTGAGAAATAATAATGGATGTGAGACATGATCAAAGATGTGAGAAATAATAATGGGTGTTAGAAATGATAATGGAAGTGAGAAATGATCACAGATGTGAGAAATGATAATGGGTGTGAGAAATGATCAAAGATGTGAGAAATAATAATGGGTGTTAGAAATGATAATGGAAGTGAGAAATGATCACAGATGTGAGAAATGATAATGATGTGAGAAATGATAATGGATGTGAGAAATAATAATGATATGAGAAATGATAATGGGTGTGAGAATGATAATGGGTGTGAGAAATGATAATGGAAGTGAGAAATGATCACAGATGTGAGAAATCATATTGGGTGTGAGAAATGATAATGGGTGTGAGAAAAGATATGGGTGTTAGAAATGAAAATGGGTGTGAGAAATGATTAGTGATGTGAGAAATGATTAGTGATGTGAGAAATGATTAGTGATGTGAGAAAGGATAAAGGGTGTGGGAAAGGATAATGGATGTGAGAAATGATCACAGATGTGAGAAATCATGGGTTTGAGAAATGAGTGAGTGAGTGAGTATAGTTTTACGCCGCTTTTAGCAATATTCCAGCAATATCACGGCGGGGAACACCAGAAATGGGCTTCACACATTGTACCCATGTCGGGAATTGAACCCGGGTCTTCGGCGTGACGAGCGAACGCTTTAACCACTAGGCTACCCGACCGCCCCGTTTGAGAAATGATAATGGATGTGTGAAATTATAATGGATGTGAGAAATGATAATGGATGTGAGAAATGATAATGGATGTGAGAAATTATGATGGACGTGAGAAATGATAATGGATGTGAGAAAATATAATGGTTGTGAGAAATGATTAGTGATGTGAGAAATGATAATTGGTGTAAGAAATGATAATGGATGTGAGAAATGATAATGGATGTGAGATATGATTAGTGATGTGAGAAATGATAATGGGTGTGAGAAATGATAATGGATGTGAGAAATGATTAGTGATGTGAGATATGATTAGTGATGTGAGAAATGATAATGGATGTGAGAAATGATAATGGGTGTGAGAAATGATAATGGGTGTGAGAAATGATAATGGGTGTTAGAAATGATAATGGGCGTGAGAAATGATAATGGATGTGAGAAATGATTAGTGATGTGAGATATGATTAGTGATGTGAGAAATGATAATGGATGTGAGAAATGATAATGGGTGTGAGAAATGATAATGATGTTAGAATGATAATGGATGTGAGAAATGATAATGGGTGTGAGAAATGATAATGATGTTAGAATGATAATGGATGTGAGAAATGATAATGGGTGTGAGAAATGATAATGGATGTGAGAAATGATTAGTGATGTGAGAAATGATAATGGGTGTTAGAAATGATAATGGGCGTTTGAAATGATAATGGATGTGAGAAATGATAATGGGTGTGAGAAATGATAATGATGTTAGAATGATAATGGATGTGAGAAATGATAATGGTTGTGAGAAATGATAATGGATGTTAGAATGATAATTGGTGTGAGAAATGATAATGGGTGTGAGAATGATAATGGATGTGATAAATGATAATGGATGTAAGAAATGATTAGTGATGTGAGAAATGATAATGGATGTAAGAAATGATTAGTGATGTGAGAAATGATAATGGATATGGGAAATGATTGGTTTGTTAGCTATACTTCTATACACCATTGTCAAATAAGTTCAAAACAGTTCACGCGATGAAAGGTATACCGGCTAGCTGCTGGAGTATGACAATGTCCTTTAATCTTCATAACAATATTTAAGCAACTCTGAAATTTGACATTTCTGGTTGGCCAAAGGTTGCCTTTATGATACCTTGTCCTTCACATAACTAACGATGGGCATTATGTGTTTTGTTGGGTTGTAGGGGCGGTCGGGTAGCCTAGTGGTTAAAGCGTTCGCTCGTCACGCCGAAGACCCGGGTTCGATTCCCGACATGGGTACAATGTTTGAAGCCCATTTCTGGTGTCCCCCGCCGTGTTATTGCTGAAATATGGCTAAAAGCAGCGTAAAACCATACTCACTCACTTGTTGGGTTGTTAGTTCCGTTTGGCACCTGCAGCCTTATACATTTTACGTTGGAATATATATCTTGACGGTTAAGAACATTTGATTTCATGCCCGCCTCGAATGCCTTTGCTGCTTACGCCATCGTATTTATTGCCTTGTTAGTGTTCTACTAAATCAATTCTTGCAAGGTCAAAACAGTGCAAACATGTTAATAGTCATAACTGGTCGTGTTTCGATCGCAGGTTAAACGTATTGAGCTTTTGGTAAAGTCACAGACCGAGTTAGTTAGTCTTTAACAGTCACTTTACTCCCTTGCCCCAGGAATATGGTGAGAATGAGAATGAATGATGTTTATTCTCGTAAATCACGGCAGTGATACAGATATGTAATTGGACACAGGAATAAGATACAATGAAGAAAACATGTCAGTTGAACATTTCCATACATGATCTTATATAACTTGCCAGTTTTAATAGAGTTGGCTTATAAGTAATGGACATCAAATGAGAGAATTTTACGGCAGAAGGATACATACAGTAGTATTGAGGCAAACACTTGTTTCTAATTTCTGAGAGTTTTGGACATTCTAATAAAAAGTGCATTTCATCACATATAAATTTTTTACACAATGTACATTTTCTTTCCTCTCTCACAATATTATACCATCTTCCTGTTTCAATGGGTAATCTATGATTTGCTGTTCTAGAACGAGCAAGAGAGATGCGTAAGGTGATTGGTAGTTCTAGTAAATAAGGTTCTAGAGATGGTAACTCTTTAAACATGTTATAATAGTAACCTTTAGATGAATTTTCCTTTGATTCTCGCCATCTTTGCAGAAAATTATCAATGAGAACATGTTTCACATTTTGTTTCAACCATGCGGCACTAATAAAGGTTTGAGACAGCCAAATGTAATTAAAGCCTATATTTTGAAGAATGCATTTTATTTCTTTTAATAGTGGGAAATGGTAATCTGGATTTGCAATGGACATTTGAAACATAAGTTTATATACTATACTAGAAAGGCTAGTTTGTGATGATGTTAGCTTGCACCAATATGAAATCATTCTTATCTTAATGAAAATGCTGAGAGGATACCTCCCTAGTTCACCATATACCATGTAATCGGGTGTTGACTGTTTTAACTTGAGAATATATTTACAAAATTTAAGATGTACACGTTCAATGACAACAGCATTTTCAAAACCCCACACCTCAGATCCATATAACAATACTGGCTGAACAAGTTGATCAAATAATTTCAGTTGACAGTCAATAGGAATTTCTAATATTCTAATTTTACGAAATACGGCGTACATTGCTCTAGATGCCTGATCTGTCAGTCTCTTTAGTGCCTTACAAAATCTACCAGTGTTTGTAAATAAAATACCAAGGTAAACATATTCTTTAACAACATGAAGAAACGGGCCATTTAACATAAACTTGAAGACTCTATTTGTGGAGCGCTTGGCGAAAATAACAACTTTCGTTTTGTCAACATTGACTTTAAGTTTCCAGATAGTACAATATTCTTCAAATATAGTGAGACACTTTCTTAAATCTTCTGGGCTTTCGGCCATTAAAACAGTATCGTCGGCATACAAAATTGAAGCGTTCAGCATTGAAACGCTCGGCACTTCTGGGCAGGTTTCCATAGCCTCTATGTATTTTGCACTTGAGGGAAGGGAAGAAAGGGCAAGGCCGGGGCACGACGAACCCTATCCCCAACCTCTTGCCCATCCCGGTGGTCCTCCACTAGTCCAATGCTATGGACCTTTCTCAGTTTGGCAACCCAGATTGTAGCTCGAGAGAAAGGTTGGTCTACAATGCGCTGAACGTGCGGCTTGAAGTGCCTCTGGAGACGACTATAAGTAGTAATGGTGCGGCTGGATGAACTTCGCAGGGGTCGTGTCAATATCACCGACTGTCGTTGAAAGAGTACTTGGGGCGTACCTCTCTGCGCTGTTACTAAGTCAACTTTCTGCAAACCTGCCACGTTTGTGACAAATTCAGATACCTCTGCTAATATATGCACATTTAGTGAAAGCAGAAAACTGTGGAGAACTTACAAATTTAAGTTGTTTTCATGATCAAATGGATCATTAGTTAAATCTATACCGTTGGAAAAAACAGTGTATTAATACTGCATCCGAGTAGATCAATTATTACCAATAACTTCAAAGGATTTTTTTTAATTATCTTAATTCTATAGAGGATAAAGTCTATAAGGACCGGTCCTCTAACCACAACAGGTAAATCCCATATGTTTTGACAATAAATATCTACTTCACTTTGTCAGAAATGGGATGTCTGACAAATGGGTTATGATCCCTGGATGCGTCCCAGAATGACACAAACTGTTTGACAGGTCGGTTTAAGTTTTCGTCGGAAAGTCCATGTTAAATTGACACCCATCTTCGGTATATTTATTGGCCAAATGAAGAAGACATTTTTATACAATCAGAGTAAGCTTTGTAACTTAGTTCGAGGTAGAATTTGTCCCCGACATCCTACATCAGGCTCTGTGATTTAGTGCCCCGCCGTCCCTCCCCGACATACTGGTGGCTTGTCTGACTTAACTGATGTGACTGACTGATAAATAGACGATTTAACGTGCGCTTTCCGACTGCAGCGTATTTCGCACACGGGACACGGATGTGTGGCCATTGCTTATTTATAGTCCGCCGCGATAAAGCTGGAGAACTGCTGACCTCGGCGTCAAACAACACACAACCCTTTAGATCGTAACGCGGATTGTATGACTGTCACACTTAGTGCCATTCAGACGACGTAGTTTTCAAGATGACACCATGCCAACCAGTAACACTGCCAAGCTCCACAATAAAAGACAAAACTCTTTAAGAAAACGTCACAGAGGTGTTCCCCCAAGCGTTCTTGAGGGCTGAGCAGCCTCGCTTAATTGATTATATCTTCATTGTTCCCCAATGTGAAATTGCTACGCCTCTGACAAGTAGGATCTGACAAGAGCAGTGCTCCCTCGAATATCTATTCAAGTAAATAGCACCAAGCAGGTGCTCTATGTGCTTGGTTTGCATTTAGTTGACTCTATACTCTGTTAAACACAAGCACAGGTGAGCAAACATCTACTGACAATGGGCACGTTTGTCCATTACCTATATTGACATACTGATGCTACTGATGGAGGTGTTGTTATTCAATGTTTGAACGTTCCGTGCCTGTGTTTGTTTCAATGAAGAATTACCCGTGTTCGTGGCTAGGTCTTAGTCGTTCTGTATGCACGATGTAAACATTAGTATTGATCCTTGAAGGAATGTTGATATACACTGTGTAAATATATTTATATAGTTTCGGAAGCCTTGAACATAACTCCAAAACTTCCTTCCAGTCATGACTATTAAGAATACCAACAACTAATCAGATTCTATGTAATGCTTTTCAGAAATAGACATCAGGTACTGGTTATGCTACCTCCTTTGCCTTTTCTGTTCCTCAGTAGTTTCGATTAAGGGGGAAACATGTGGTCAAGTGGTTTAAGGCGCCAGAATGTGCATGTCATGAGTTCGAGTCCTATAATAGACCTGTGGGTGATCATTGGTTAACATTCAAATTCTGTCACTTTGGGCTTTAGAGCCACTGGTACTGACGCCGTTAGTCGCCTCGTACGCCAAGTATGGGTTGCTGAGTGATCTTCACGGAGGCTCATTTAAGATAGTATTCCAGTTATTTCACGGCGTGATGCAATTCTCAGACGTTTACCACTTTTACCACTTTGGTGAAACCAACGAGCACGGGTATGGTGCTGCTAAACCTAGAAACATAATCGGGTCCAATCTGGGGTTCGTGACTCCTTCCAGCTGTTGAACAATCTGAGTGGTGCTGTACGTTGTATTATAGCTCGATCTTCCTGTGAAAGGTTATTGAGAAAATCACAAAAAGCGAATTATTATCATACTACGTGTTCCTTTGCTGTAAAAGGCGACTAACGGGATCGGGTGGTCAGGGGCTAAAACGAGGACTGGCCGCTTCGGAGTCAGTATAGTATGTCTGAGTGGGGTGCCCATGTTAAACTGCGGCATGGTATCTCAGTGTGCTAGCACTACATATCGGCTTATAAACCTCCAGTGATGCATTACCATCGTTACAACAGGTTGTTCTTTTCTCCGAAAATCCCTCTGCCCACGGGATTCTCGAGCTGTGTGGTTTTGACTGAGAACTTTCGAGTGCTACAATTCACATTTTAAGAATTAAAGTTATGTCATGTAAACAAAAAGCATCTTCATATCTGTCGGTTTATAAGTCAGATATATAACCTTCTCCTATGGCTATCGGGGACGCGGGTGGCCCAGTCGTCTAAGGCGCCGCGATTCGCTGTGCAGAGTTGCGTCCCTTGGGCACGCCAGAAACCTATGATTGTGGGTTCGAATCCCGGTTCGCCCCGATTATGTTTCTAGGTTTGTCAGCACCATGCCCGTGCTCGTGGGTTTCACCGAAGTAGTAAACGTCTGAGACCTGCATCACTTCGGGCTTTCCTCCCACATTAAGCTGACACGCCGTGATATAACTGTAATACTGTTAAAAGCGGCGTTAAACCCAACTCACTCACTCACTCCTATGGCTATCCGTGAAAAGCCTACGGCCCGCGGGCTTTTCCTTTGCCGGACTGCATTATTTTCACGGATAGGCCGCGGAGGCCTATAGGTTTTATATCCTATACATAAGTCCTGACCAGAACACACACACACACACACACACACACACACACACACACACACACACACACACACACACACACACACACACACACACACACACACACACACACACACACACACACACAGAGAACCTACACCGAAATGTCGCTCCTAATTGTAATAAAGAAGTTGTTCATTCAAAAATGTTATCCTTACTTAACTTTTCTTCCATTAATTAAAATGTTGGGCCTATGTGTTGGGTCACACACACACACACACACACACACACACACATACACGTGCATGCACGTCGCTATATAAGTGCAATAATCTTGGACGCGACGTTAAACCCAGTTTCACCTCACCTCACCTCACCTCACCTCACCTCACCCGTATTCTTTCCTCCTGTTCCGTTCATGTTTAGTACAAGCTGTAAATCAAATGTGTAAACATCTTAGAGAAGGTGTCCTACGTTGGAGAATTTGTACCCAATCCCATTCAAAAGTATAACCCGAAACCCCTCATAACATGGTTGATGTTTATTCATTGATAGTTTTACATCTGAATATTCATTCATCCAATGATAACATTCTGTGACTGCACGAGTTTGGGGATAACTTCCGTCCAGAGTTTCACTTCCTGTGACCTCGGGTCATACTTCATGACTGAAGCATTACCAACAGACAGGTACCCCTTCTCCTTCGAAGTGAAAGGTTTCCAGGTCACGTGACCATAAGATGGGTCCCTGTAATATGCCAATAATCATGCGAAACTACAACGTATACTATTAATTAAACTATTAATTACAATCCTAATAGTTACAGTGTTCCAGCAGGTAAGTGTGTGTGGGTGTTTGCACACTGTACACATGTTGGGAATTGAAATCAGGTCATCGATTAGACGCGTCGACACTTCACCACACTGCTCTCAATAATAACTTGGGCCGCCCACGTAGGTACATACACGGCGTAAAACCATACTCGTTCACTCTATATTAATAGCAATGGGAGTAATCATCTCAAGGAAAATGCCTCATTATTTCAAAGGTTTGTCTTACCATGACAACACCTATGGCCATATTAGGCGATAATGGCTGCTCTGAGGGTGACACAACAATAATTATCAACCCACTAATTTCCACGAAAGACAAATGTAAACAATGTCCGTAATTTTGTTTGTTTTTTATCATGACGACAAGTTGGACTTTACTGAAAATGAGGGTAGTTCTTGTTCCCGGAGCAGAACTCCAAAACCAATGAATATTTCTGGATGAAATTTGCTATACAGATCAGTCTAGTTGTGAACTGGTGCCTTTTGATGATTTTTGAAAAATACTGAACAGCATTATTTTTGTCGTCACTTAACTGAAGGTATCCAATGCCAATGAACCAAAAGTGGGGTATGAGTAGCCAAATTCCATTTCTTAGTTGCACCAGACCGGGGATATGTCATCTCTTGATGACTTCTTTAAATCAACCAGCAAAAGTCAAATGGTTTACGACAGGTGATGTAAATGACATATATCACATATCTATACATACCCGTGCTTTGCAAAGTTCGTCCAGTACCCCATCACCCTACTGGAAACAGCCTTATCAGTGTCCGTCCAGTGAGATCCCCCCAGAAGCGGGGCTCCAAACACATAGGGTAGCTCAGCCGCGTGGGGGACACCTGCAATCACATTCACCAGATGAGATGGAATGGGGTTTAACGTCGCGTGCAAGATTATTGCACTTTTATAGCGACGTGCATGCACACGTACACGTACGTGTGTGTGTGTGCGTGCGTGCGTGCTTGCGTGTGTGTGTGTGCGTGCGTGCTAGTCCGGACTGATGCCGATTTATAGTGCTAAACTACTTTAGCCCGCAGTTTAACATGAATACCCCACTCAGACGCAGTATACTGACTCCAAGCCTTGTTTTAGCCCCTTAATGCCGGGCGCCAGACTGGGTAACAACAAGTACCACGTTTTAACGTCATTTAACGTCTTTTGGAATGACGCGGCCGGGGATCGAACCCCGGACCTTCCGCTCTCCGGGCGGACGCTCTGCCACTAGACCACGGAGGCGGTCACGTGGACTAGAACTGTGGATATCCAACTTTCTCTTCCCGACTCCACACTCATGCAGTCAGAAACAACATGGCAAACATTCCAGTATAAATTTTCAGTATAATATAATTATAACTGGTATTTTTTATTTTGCGCCTAATGGAATTTGTTTCGGCCGATGGTAGGCACATGTACACTGTCATATCTAAATGATAAGATTTGTACGGTTAATATTTCTAAGGATTTCTTTTCAAATTTACTTGTTCAAATTCTTCGGAGACATTTGATTGTTCTTTAAACACGTTATAGTAAAATGTTTGTCAATTTTAGTTCCCGATTAGAATTTGATGTGTGACTTACTGTTTAACGTCAATAGCATTAAGAACACAACTAAGCTGGTCTGTCCAGACAAGTTGTGTTAAATGGTGAGTGAGTTGGGTTTAACGCCGCTTTAACAGTATTCCAGTTGTATCGCGGCGTGTCAGCTTAATGTGGGAGGAAAGCTTCGAAGTGATGCAGGTCTCAGAGCACGGGTATGGTGCTGACAAACCTAGAAACATTATCGGGGAGAACCGGGATTCGAACCCACAATCATAGGTTTCTGGCGTGCCCAAGGGACGCAACTCTGCACAGCGAATCGCGGCGCCTTAGACGACTGGGCCACCCGTGCCCCCTGTGTTTAATGATGATCTATAAAATCATGCAGTCTTCACAATTAGTTTTTATTGAGTAAATAAAACCATAGAGTATATTGCCCTTGTATATATGCCCTGATTTTACAATCAATGTATTGGTGATAACGTAAACCCATTAACAAGTGAGGGCGGTCAGGTAGCCTAGTGGTTAAAGCGTTCGCTCGTCACGCTGAAGACCCGGGTTCGATTCCCGACATGGGTACAACGTTTGAAGCCCATTGCTTGTGTTCCCCGGCGTGGTATTGCTGGAATATTGCTAAAAGCGGTGTAAAACCATACTCACTCACTCATTTACAATTGTGGTTAAGATGAATACGAACTGAACACAGAAAACCAGTTCAGCAATGACCCACCTTCCCAGACTGGCTTGTTGTCTCGAGGAGAGCGGTAGTCAAACTCGTACAAGTAGACTGGGCTCCTGCCCCGCCCCGCCTGTTTCTCCGTCTCAACCACGGTCGGCACATAGAAGGCGCGGTCAGACAGCAACTGGTCATAAAGGACATAGGCGTTATTCGGTTAATAATACCTATATTTCATCCAGAATGTCAGAGTATACAGCATGGGGTCATACCTTGATACGTGATACGTGCGTTTGCGTGCGTGCGTTTGCGTACGTGCGTGTGCATGTGTTTGCGTGTGTAAATGATTGTGCGCATGTCAAAGAATATCTGTATTATGTATTGGAGAGTGGCGATTGTCCAAAGTTCATGTTCCAGGCCAATTCCTACACGTTTAGTAGCGCACGACTCTCGGGAACTCCTACTCAAGGTATCTCTGCTTCCATTACGGTTGGTTGGTTTGTTGTTTAACGCCGCACTCAGCAATATTCCTGCTATATGACGGCGGTCTGTAAATAATCGAGCCTGGACCAGACAATCCAGTGAATAATATCATGAGCATCGATCCACGCAATTGGGATCGATGACATGTATCAACCAAGTCAGCCGGTCTGACCATCCGATCCCGTTAGTCGCCTTTTACGACAAGCATAGTTGCCTTTTACGGCAAGTATGGGTTGCTGAAGACCTATAAATTATTCTCCCCCGGAGTGATCTGTGAGAGTATGTCGCGTTCACTGACGCATGTTTACAGAAGAAGAAGAAGAATACATTTACTCGATGATGTGTGAACGGATATTGTGTCCACTGACGCCGGGTTTCATTACCTGGATGGTGCGTGAACGTATGTTGCGTGAGCCGACGCCTCGGATGGCGTCTAGTACAAGCATGAAGCGTAGACAGGTGTTGCGTGACGCTTGACCACTGTTACCCGGATGATGCGTGAACGTATGTTGCGTGAGCCGACGCCTCGGATGGCATCTATTAAAAGCATGATGCGTGGACAGGAGTTGCGTGACGCTTGGCCACTGTTACCCGAATGATGCGTGAACGTATGTTGCGTGAGCCGACGCCTCGGATGGCATCTAGTACAAGCATGATGCGTGGACAGGAGTTGCGTGACGCTTGGCCACTGTTGCCCGAATAATGCATAAACGTATGTTGCCTGAGCCGACGCCTCGGAAGGCATCTATTACAAGCATGATGCGAGGACAGGAGTTGCGTGACGCTTGGCCACTGTTACCTGGATGATGCGTGAACGTATTGCGCCGTGGTCGGACGTTTGGACGTCACTGAGGTACACCTTCTCGATGGCTGCTTGCAAGGCTTGTTGGTTGGACGTGAAGGCACGCTGTATACTCTGACGCACGAACGCAGTGGCTGAGCTCAGTGACATTCCGCCCGATATTCCATGGATCCAGGCTGGAATCAACGTCGGGGAGAGTGAGTGAGTGAATGATGAAGAGGAGGCAAAATAAATGCAAATATTTGTATAAAAAAAGACATCACACAGTCAACTGCATGAAAAATATACGCTTGAAAATAGCATTTGAGATATCAAAGATTTCTTCATAACGTTACGAGGCTGAAAACAGTCTCCGAAGCACTACAAACTTAAGGTTCATTTCACAACTATGAAACCGTATCAAATTCATTACCATCGAATAACCATTTATTGTTTGTTTCATTTTTAGCCACCAACAGGAATGAGTGAGTATGGTTTTACGCCGCTTTTAGCAATATTTCAGCAAATAATACGGCGGGGATCACCAGAAATGGGCTTCACACATTGTACCCATGTCGGGAATCGAACCCGGGTCTTCGGCGTGACGAGCGAACGCTTTAACCACTAGGCTACCCGACCGCCCCTCAGCCACCATCAAACATGTACTTTCCTTATCCCTGTATATTCAATGCTAGCCGGTATGGGGTTTTCCTCGTACCTACCTAGCTGCGCGGCAAGTTCGTCCTTGTTCACCCCCCTCATGACGGGTATGTCAGCTGCATCCCCCCTGTCGATGAGAGTCTGGGGAGTATCGGGGAGGAACCCGAAAACCGCCTCCACCACGGGCGACCATACGAGGCGATTTTCAGCCTTCTGTAACGAGAAATGTTCATCAACACTGTAGAGTTTTCAGAACTTTCAGAACATCCAAATAGAATTACGTGATGTACATAATTTTTAATAAGTGGGCAACGAAAAATTGGATTTGACCCAAAACTTACAAACGTTATCAACGCGTTATCAGGCTGAGTGAGTGAGTGAGTATGGTTTTACGCCGCTTTTAGCAATATTCCAGCAATATCACGGCGGGGAACAACAGAAACGGGCTTCACACAATGTATCCACGTCGGAAATCGAACCCGGGTTTTCAAGAGATATTTAACCATATATTGTTTTGGTCAAATCCAATTTTCAAGAGTATACTTTCTTTTGCCCAGCAGTGTAGATACAAACAGTTAAGACCTTCCTTTCAGTGACAGGTGTCCAGTTGGATTAATGGGTCGGTGTTGTGGCTGTGTGGCTGGAGAGTTGGCTCGTCACGCCTCACACCCGGGTTCGAGGCCCTATATGGTTATAATGTGTGAAGCCAATATTTTGTGTCCCACGTCGGAATATGGATGGAATAAAGGTAAAAGCGTCGTACAACCATACTCATTCACCCACTCTGCCATTGCTCGAACTATTCTCACCGTTAGATCATTGACTGTGAGTCTCTTAACATCCACCTTGCGGAGACAGTCAACCAAGAGGGTCGTGTTTGTTTCTGAGCATCCAACCCTTTTCCCCAGAACCCTTGCTTGGTCAAGGGGAGATGGTTTGTCATGCATGGTTCTGAAACCCCACTCTGACAAGGACACTCCGCTCTCGGTGATGGCGGCGTCAAATAAACCTGAAGCAGTTGACAACGATGTCACATTCGTGATGGTTGAAGTACTTAATCTGGACAAACTTCCAAGTACATCTTTCCATATGAACTGGTACTTGCAACTTTTTGAAAGAATATACAGAACATTCGTCCACCACACGTTCACCAGGTATCTAGGCATTTATCACAATGAGAGCAATATTGGGAAATTTTGTTGATAAAGCCCGATGGGGAATAAGTACCACCAACACCCACACCCACACCCACACCCACACCCACACTCATCCAAACCCACCCCCTGCACCTACGGGCTTGTATTGCCATAGTGATTAAAAGGAGCTGTGGGGACGTGACTTTCATCGGCATCAGAACATTACTTCGAGATGCATTGGTAAACTGTTTGTTGTAAAAACGCTGCATTCAGAAATATTCCACCTATATGACGGCGGTGTGTAAATAATCCAGTGTTAAATTTCATGAGCATCGATCCACGCAATTGGAATACGGTGACATGCATCAACCAAGTCAGCGAGCCTGACCACCCGATTCCGTAAGTCGCCTTTTACGACAAGCATGGGTTGCTGAAGACCTGTTGTACCATGGATCCTCCCGGGTCCAGAGTAACATGTGTAGAACATGCGAATATACGTATCCGCGTCTGTATAGCCCCCTTTAACATTCAAAACAAGAATCAGATGACAACACTCCGTTCCTACCTTTAGAGAGAGGGGATATGAGATGCAACGACGTGCTGACTGCACCCGCGCTTTCTCCAAACACCGTCACATGCTTAGGATCCCCGCCAAAATCTGCGATATTGTCTCTCACCCATTTCAAAGCCATCACTTGGTCCAACATCCCATAATTACCAGGAGATGCTGCGTCGTCGGTTGCTAGGAAACCTGAAATATATCATATGCTATGCAATCTGTATTTGTTATTGATCTTAGAAAAAATCATGGTGCAAAAACACAGAAAGTCATCTGGCATCAGTAATCACAGTAAAAATAATTCATCATGCTTTATTATTTCAATTATTTTAAGTAGGTAGTGTTTTTCCGCATCATATAGTCACTTCTTCTGTCCTACGTTCGCAAAAGCAAATTCTTGAGTCCAGTGTAATGAGTTACAAGATGCGATAAGCGTCTAGGCTTCTTAGCAAGAAAAACATAGAAGCAGGGATGATATGAAGTGAGCAATTAGTGTCCAAGTGACTACCAATGCTCATAAGGCTTAAAAGCCCGACCTGCCTTCTTCCTTTCAAATCAGACAAAAATCTTGATCTCCTTCGCTTCTTTTTTCCTCGTTAAAATAGATTTAAGAATAATGGCCGGCATTCCTCGTCATCAATATAAAAAAAAAAAAATGTTCAACAAACATTTATTTATTTCATTGATGATATATCGTTCTACTGTTTAGTATGAACAACGTCCTACGCCGTCCTTGTTATCCACCAACACCACAATCTGTAGTGTCCATACGAACACATGGAGCGGTCGGGTAGCCTAGTGGTTAAAGCGTTCGCTCGTCACGCCGAAGACCCGGCTTCGGTTCCCCACATGGGTACATTGCGTGAAGCCCACTTCTGGTGTCCCCTGTCGTGATATTGCTGGAATATTGCTAACATCGGCGTAAAACCATACTCACTCACTCACGCATACGAACACACTGTGGCCATCCGATCAACATCTGTGTGGCTGCTTCATGCAGGGATAATACTGGGAATGTAATTGTCGATATGACGCGGGTCTCACCTAATGCTCCTAGTCTGTAGTTGAAGGTGACAACGACCACGGAATGGAGGGCTAGAGCGTAACACCGGAACAGAGAGCCGCCCCCTTCATTGAACGCACCCCCGTGGATGAACACCATAACTGGTAGCGGTGGGGTTGTGCTGGCCTTGGACTAAAATTAACGCATGATTCAGTGAGGCTAATATGAGACTGACATCAAAAGCAAACTTTTATTTGACTGTTTTTAGACAAGTAGTTTTCGTGATATATGGATGGATTTATATTTGTTTACGAGTGCTTCAAGTATAACTGATTAAGCACACGTTTGAGCTACATTTCAAAAGGGTTTCACTGTTGGTACGCGCCGAAAGCTTAGCGCTTTAGCGACCCTCCACAATGGTACTAATACATGTATGTACCATGTCTCATCATAGGTGCACATGCCTGACGTCTGCATTACCGATACCGAGTTGATACTTTAATATGAGTTGTGTCATATCAAAAAGCGACAGCTTATTGTAGAAGGAAGCAGGTTTTGACAAAATAACAATAGTAGATTAGAAAAACTCAATTCATAATGACCTTCCAGGCGAAAACATTGAGGAAGAGACAGTCCTCGTTCTGGGTGGAGTGAGGCTTGCTGTGCGCCTGGGGGCAGATGGGTCGGGCTGACCGGGCGTCCCTCACGCCTGACCACGCCCCGGCAGGGGAGGGGGGCCTAAATCTCTTGACACCTGCAAAAGACGCACACGGCATGGTCTTGAATTTGTTACATGATATACTTATCATAATTTTTATAGCAAATACATGAGAGTTTTCATTTCAACTATGAATTACCTCCTTCAGCAGTGAGATATAATTACGAACATATATTGCCCGGCAAAAGAGATTATACACTTGAAAATTGCATTTGACCAAAATATTACACACGTCATCAAAACGTTACCAGGCCCATATGATGCCATTGCTGAAAAGAGTCGCTAAAACACTGCAAACCTAAGGTCCAAAATACAACTATGAGTGAGTGAGTTGGGTTTAACGCCGCTTTTAACAATATTCCAGTTATATCGCGGCGTGTCACCTAAATGTGGGAGGAAAGCCCGAAGTGATGCAGGTCTCAGACGTTTACCACTTCGGTGAAACCCACGAGCACGGGTATGGTGCTGACAAACCTAGAAACATAGTCGGGGCGAACCGGGATTAGAACCCACAATCATAGGTTTCTGGCGTGCCCAAGGGACGCAACTCTGCACAGCGAATCGCGGCGCCTTAGACGACTGGGCCACCCGTGCTCCCTACAACTATGATACCCGTGTCAAATACATCACATTCTAAGTATCAGTTCTTGTTTGTTTTATATTTAGTCACCATCAAACATCATCTTTCCGAGGTAGTTCGGCATACTCCCTTGCCTCGGAAACATGTAAATAATGGGTGTACACTTTCCTTTGCCCAGCAGTGTATTATGCTGGACGTAGTTTTATTTGAAAAATGATCCTGAATGGTGCAAGATGAGATTTGTATTTTATTCTTTGGCAGAAGTGTTTTGTATGTTTTGGTAGTTGCAGTTGCAGTTGCAGTTGCAGTTGCAGTTGGAACCGTGTGAGTGAGTGGAACCAGGTACATCGTGTTGAGACCGCGGACTTCATCTAACACTTAGATAGGATAGCATGTTAGGAGAAGTCCTCGGACATTTGGACATCTGAACATCTGTACACGTTTTGCGTAAACTTCAGATGGGAACTTGTGGAAGACTGGGATGGGACCTTGTGTTTGGCGACATTTGGTATAGTTATCGAACCCTTAACCCTTAATCCGACACTAATGATGGGAACTGATTAAATCAGTGCTATTAAGACCCGTTAATCCGACAGTCTCGCTCTCCGATCCGACACACCTAATTTGCAACGAATTACCGAAATCACTCAATAATCAGTCCGGTTAATCCGACTGGTCATTTGCCCGCTAGTACACAGCCGGTGTTTTGATGCGAGACCGTTCGGCTGGTAGCTGCATATTACAGCGCGACAGAGATAAACTCGTTTAACAATAAACAATCAATGCTTTAAATAAAGAAAACAGGATTAATCACATGCTTAAATTACCTCAATCTCATTAAAATCAGATACAAGTTCTCTCTACCGCTGGGGACATCAGATTACAGGTCACGTCAGAACAACGTATAGTCATAGTGTAGTTGTTTAAAAACGTTGGTACAAATGTACATAGTGTGGACTGAAAAGTGACTTCACGTGTTCACATCAGAACATATTCATCCTATACCTGCCGTAATATAGCTCACACTGACCGACAGGTGGAAGGGCGTACGGAATTCCAGTGTACACGTCTACATATTCGTCACTAAAGTACTCGGTCCTAGTCCCTCGTAGCTGACCCTGCCTTGTCTGCAAAACGACGTCTGTCCCGACACACAACGTTGCCAAACATGACAACACAACATAGCCAAACATTGTTTCAATGAAAAATGAGACAGGGCATCGCACTTCAAGTTAAGGTTAGATAAGACACGCGTATAGATAAACCAGTTCTTTCGCGTCTCAGTTACCTATAAAGGTCAGGGTCGGTAGACTAGCCTAATGGTAAAACGTTCGCTCGTCATGTCGAAGGCATGGGTTCGAGCCAACCACATGGTATAATGTAATGAAGCCCACTCTTGGTTAACCCGATATGATCACTCACAGCAATCAGTCACGGTTTAAATATGTTATAACGTTTAGATATGAGTGAGTGAGTAAAAATGTAACGTCACATCGGCAATATTTCAGCCATATCGCGACGAGACCAATTTATTTATTAAGAGTAAATACATGTAGAGTTAATAAAAACCCGTCGACAATGGACGGTAACACAACTAGAGTATCACCGATTTATATTAAAAACTAGCAATTAATCTTACAATATGAGTTGAATAGTTGTTAGACAGTATTATTCAAGGGGAGACCACTCCCATCGAACTTCCTGTAGTGACCTCGGTGACCTAGTAACCTAGCTGGATTCACACACACAGAGTTGTCTTTTCGGCCATATCGTGACGAGACAAATTTATATATTGATACTAAATACACGTAGAGTTAATAAAAACCTGTCGACAATGGGCGGTAAAAAAACTAGAGTATCACAGATTTAATTTGTTTTTAAAACTAGCATTTAATCTTACAATAAGACCTCTGCCGAATAGGCGGATCTTCAGCATGCCTTGGATGTAGCTTCTGTGATGGCGTGATTTGAGCTGGAAGACAATTCCACTTTATTTTTTTTATTCCAGTACGTGGTGTGGGTATGAGATGCGGTAAAAGGATCGCCATAATTTTCGGTCCGTGATTCCTCACTGCCAGCAGATGTTGCTCATTTGATGTAACAGTTATAGATCTAGCGGGTCTGTGTTGTTCAAGAAGATAAGCGAGGAACTCTGTGTACGTCCATGCAGAACCTTAACTATGAGGACAGTACTTTAAACTCGCTGTATGATTCAAAACCAGTACACAGTCATGTTTTTACGGAGGCAACTTCAGTCTGAGACTGGTCGTTGATCTCCATGAAGAAGAGGATTGCAGTCTGATTTAACGCCGCTTTGAATAGTATTTCAGATATACCGCGTCGTGTCAGCTTGTTGCAAAAGGAAGGCCCAAGCAGAAGTATTTCAGAATGGGGCGCTTGAATTTTGTATTGAGACCAGATATTTTTTCAGCTACAGCTGGAAAACCAAGTACTTTTTATTTAAAACTATGAGCTAAATACATATTCCACACACACACACACACACACACACACACACACACACACACTCACTCACTCACTCACACACACACACACACACACACACACACACACACACACACACACACCACCACCACCCCCAGAACCTACACCGAAATGTCGCTCCTAATTGTAATAAAGAAGTTGTTCATTCAAAAATCTTATCCTGAGTTAACTTTTCTTCCATTAATTAAAATGTTGGGCCTGCCTAATTAACCTATACTCATTCTTGTTAAACCACGGATAGATATTCGCGAAAGTCAAAGGGCTGACACAACAGGTGTTAATAACTGTTAAAGCACCTCTAAGCTACTAAAAATACATTACATCTACAGATTTGTATTATATATACCTGTATACCACTTGATAGTGTCTCATATCGTGGTAGTTAACGAAAACACGGTGCTCAAAGTGAAGCCCTTTGCCCTCTACATTCCCAACATCGTCTCTATGAGAAGTGTTTGGTCTATGTTCGGTCCGACTTGGCCCGAGCTGTCATAATCAACTTAAACCTCACAGTTGTATCATCAAATGTGTTTACATCTAAAGACTGGTAGTGTATCTACCTATATACCACTTTATAGAGTCTCATATTAAGGTAGTGCATGCACGTGTGTGTGAAGCTGCTTGTACTTGTCCGGACTGATGCCGATTTATAGAGCTAGCACACTGAGTATCATGCCGCAGTTTAACATGAATATCCAACTCAGACACAGTATACAGACTCCGAGCCGACCAGTCCTTGTTTTAGTTCCGAGCGCCAGACAGGGTAACAACAAGTACCATCTTTTAACGTCTTTTGGTATGACGCAGCCGGGGATCTAACCCCGGACCTTCCGCTTTCCGGGCGGACGCTCTACCACTAGGCGGTCAAATATAGAAGCACCCCTTCCGATTGATCAAAGTACACAAGACTTATTTATTTGTGTATAATACGCACTTGTGTATGTACCCTTGTGTATGTACCCTTAATTATGGGCAATTAATTTCTGGAAAAATATATCTGGCGTATGTCAACATTTCAGGCTGTCAGCATAAACCACGAAATTTACGTCTTTCAGCTCTGTTTTTTTCCCACCAAAATAATATTTTCATAAGAGCCCCCTATGTCTAATTTTGAGAGCGCCCTGGGCGCTTATTATGTCGAATACGGTATACCCAAACCCAGTCGTGTCGACCAATTACTATTTCGAGCTGATGTGGTAAACTATCTAACTGTGTTCTAAATAGAAGACTCGCGCAATTCATAGAAATTATCAACATATTAACTCCTGCTTAAGCAGCTTTTAGAAAGGTATTCTCGGAAAGCAATAATTTATTTATTATGCACATAATTACAGCAATATTAAAATTAGGAAAACGATAATTCTATTGTGTATTTATAGATTTTCAAAACACATTCGAAACTGTCTTGAGAGCTAGGCTTAGGCATAAATTTAACAAATGTTATATTTGGGATTAAACTTTCTGGGTAAAGTACAGGGACTCAACCCAAAAAAGTTAACATTTGTTACATTTGACCACTTTCTTAACGACATCGTGTATTCTTAGGCATAAATTGTTTAATTGTGGGATTAGGGAAAGGTTCTTGATCAAATAATCTAATATTCGCATACGCCCCATGCAATACTGGTGTCAAACGAGGTTACAATATCTTCCCTTTTCTATTCTCAATCTTTATTAACGATATTGAATTAACTGACGATTAACCAGGACAAACCAAAGAAAGTAGAGAAATTAAATGAAGCACCCATAAAAGAACTAAAGTGACATCCTCACAAGTGGTAGCCAACAACCATACTCGATCACTCACTCGAATTACAAAGGTCACTAAATGTATTTAATGCATATTGTTCAAAATGTAACGTAATATGTACCTTTCTCCGAGTAAAATTGTTGTTTTCGTAAGTGGCTCCTCCAAAACTTCTAACTTATCATTCACATTCGGCAAACATTAAACAGAAATAGTTTATATCTACTCTTATCTTGGCATCGAAGTCCATAGAAACGGTACATTTATACCAGAAACTAAAATGTTAGTAGAAAGTGCAACGAAGGCAATATGTTTTTACTGAAGGGTGAGTGAGTGAGTATGGTTTTACGCCACTTTTAGCAATATTCCAGCAATATCACGTCGGGTGACACCAGAATTTGGCTTCACACATTGTACCCATGTCGGGAATCGAACCCGGGTCTTCGGCGTGACGAGCGAACGCTTTTACCACTAGGCTACCCGACCGCCCCATTTACTGAAGAAAGCACGGAACATCAATTCATTATCAGATTGTACTTTATCAGCATTTGCTTTAATGGTTGCCCCTATCATGTTGTATGTTTCTGCAATTTGGGGATTTGTAAATATAAAGTTTTTGAAAAGGTACATTCAAAATATCTCAAGCTTGCACCAAGTTCAAAGTTCGACTCCATGTCATGCTAATGGCGACAGACGATTTTAGTGTTTATGACATTGATTCAGACGATTCATTTCCAACCTGTGACGAGATCATTTTCACATTTTTGCAACACGTTGACATCAATAAATGTCAGAATGAAGGAACACATGTCCTATATAAACATCACAACTCATAATGACAGAATCGACCACATCGACACAACCGTGAGAGATTTATTCGTTGACTGTCCGTTGCATATATCAGAGGTGTTCCGTCATGTCAAGACTTTGTAAAATGTGTTTAATTTTCATCGCACTTTTGGGGTGTGTTTTTTACTTCATGCAAAATATTATTATTTGTGCAGATGTAAAAAATGAAAATGGACACAAAGTATATTCACCCAGGATATCTACCACCAAACAGTCGATAAGCAACGGGTCCGCTGAATGTCCAAATGTGTTGACCCTTATGACCAAAGGTCATTGGAGCAGCAGACGACTGACACACCAGGAAAGGAAAACTATGGATGATTTTTTATTTAGTTTCCAAACGAGGTACAGGTTCCCAAAGCACTTCCAGCGCAAGGATGCGAAATGTGGAAACGTCACCTATTTGGAAACTAACTACTTCCGGGCTCTCTGTAATCCCAAGGGGCCCACGCCATGCTGCTTCCGGGACCGGTGCGTGCGCAGGGTAGAGAGTGAGTGTACCTGCTCTGACTGTTACGACCTGAGACAGGAAAGATACGCTGATTATTCAAATTGGATCCCGGCAGACAGTCGGTGTCCATATCGCGCGTTTTCAAGGGAGGAAGCTTGTGCTCTGCTGAAGGGGAGTTCCATCCACTTTGTAGGGGATTCGTTAGTTCGTCATATTTATACAGCACTACTCCTCGTTCTGACTGGCGACATGGACTATGGGGCCTTGAAAAGCAGTGCATCGCATGGTAGGAGAGCCGTGGCAATTCATAATATTTGAGTGATTGAGTATGGTTTTACGCCGCTTTTAGCAATATTCCAGCAATATCACGGCGGGGGGACACCAGAAATGGGCTTCACACATTGTACCCATGTCGGGAATCGAACCCGGGTTTTCGGCGTGACGAGCGAACGCTTTAACGACTAGGCTACCCGACCGCCCCCATAATATTTAAAGCAAACTCGAAATAAGCCATTAATGTGATATGGCTGGAGTATTGATAAAAGGGGCGTAAAAGTCTACTCACTCTCTCACGGAGATGCTAGATATAGGTGCTATCATTTATACAATGTTTCTACCTTACTGATCGCGTTGAGAATAATATTTTCTATTTCGTTTTAGAATTCGTTTGTTATGTACATCTTAAATATAAACACGTATGGGAAGTAATGTATTACAAACCTTTCGTGTCATCACCAGAACTTCAGACCGTCTCCGTGGTCTAACGGTAGAGCGTCCGCCCGGAGAGCGTCATACCATAAGGCGCTAAAAGATTGTACTTGTTGTTACCCTGTCTGATGCTCGGCCTGGTCGGCTGTATACAGTGTCTGAGTGGGGTATTCATGTTAAACTGCGGCATGATATCTCAGAGTGCTAGCAGTATAGCATGAGTCCGGACTAGTACAAGCACCCACACATACACACTCGTACATGAATGTCGCTATATGTAGCGTCAATAATCTTGGAGGCGACGTTAAATCCTAATTCACCTCACCTTAGCTCACTGGAACTTCATGACTTTCTTTTTCCTTTGTACAGAAACCAGAAGCTCCTGTCGAGGCCTGTATATGTTTACGGAGAAGGTTTGCCGCATTAACCTGTCACACGCTACCAAACTCTGTGGAGGTCAGGCCAGTCTTGTAATGAAATATTATGCACACACTCAAGCCGGCCGTGCATTCCTTACCCATGTGAAAACCATCACAAACCAGACAAAATCTCTTATTCTTACAGGTATTGGTATTCATAATGGTTTTAATATAACTCAAATTCTCCCTCGTTTCATCGGACCGGTTATTCAAGACCTTAAGCCACGGACTTCAAAATGGCCGTTCCTAATTTGGGCGAATACGCATGCGCCAGGTTTATTCAAGTCGCCATCTTTATATCATCAGACCCGGCCGATTATGGAAAAGTTCAATTCTGAAATGGTGGATCTGATGGCGGAAAATGACGTTCCCGTGTTTGAAACATTCAACTTGACAGACGGGATGTCCAGTTTTGACGGAGAACATTATGGGAGAGGTATAAATGTTGTCAAAGCAAACATACTGCTTCACTACATAGCTGAATTGAAACGGAAGGGTCTGTGGTAAAAAAAGGTGATGACTGCATTTCGACTTAACATACAGTTCTTTAAATTGTTCTGATAATACTTGCATTAATTAATGACCAAGAGTTAGCTGTGAAATAATGGTAGGCAAAGGAACAGAACAAGGATTTCTGTTACGTTGTGCCAACCCTGTTTTCACAGCTAAGTCTAGGTCAAAGTTAATCTATGCAAATATTATTAGAACAACTTTAAGAAGATACAAACATTCACGGAAAACTTATTCAAATTTGATTTCGACATCAACGGCAGTTAAAGTCGACAATAGAACATATGCGAAATCGTCGCAGCTCCTGTGAGTGAGTGGGCGGGTGGGTTAGTGGAGAATATATAGTTATACCAGCTACAGTCAACTCTTGAAAGTCAAAAGAACGCACCCCCCAAAAAAATGAGTTCCTTTTATCCGAATATCCAGTTGATGTATATTCGTTATGCTGTGTTGACTGTACATCACGAGGTTTTCTGAAGGTTTGTGAAAGGTATACAGAATTGTAAAGTCGGTCTGTAAAAAATAAGTCATGTATACGAGTGGTTGATAGCTTGAGCAACGACCCACGCAACCGAGACACGATTACACACAATAAGCCACGTCACCCTTTTAAAAAAATATTTTTCTTTCAATTCAGAAGACATGTTTGTGTAACATAGGTACATGAGGTATATACATGTAGTAGTTCATAGAATCTTAAAACATGATGAAGATTTGGGTAATATACGTATATTGAATTAACTGATGTATTATAATAAAAAGCGCTGATAATTCTTTCCATTTTCTGTCAAATTTATTAATACTACTGTTTTTCATTGCAATATTTTTTCTATTTTCCATACATCTTTCAATATTTTTATGAAGAAATGAAAGTATAATATGCGGTTTTTAAGTGCTTGACTGGTGAATGTGTTTTTTGCAAGAAGAAATATACTGAACCAAATTAAAAACTTCACAATCCTAAAATTTTAACATTTTGACCAGTTATCATTGTGGGCCCTTATTGTGTATTTAAACAGTAATGACCACGTATTGTCTTCAGATAACACCCGTTTTTGTGCAGGTGAATCGATCAAAATCATGTGCACAGCAGTATAGTGGCAAGAGTGGTTTTTCACGTGCAACTGGTCACGTGGCCATAATACCGCACGTGTTTTCAGCCATACTTGTTAGCAGTCATTAACCAAAAAAGAAAAACACAAGAAAACGGCCATTTACGGCCATTTGTCATGCCACGCCTTTCAAATGTGCAACGTGAACGTGCCATCGGCATGTTGCAGACGGGAACGTCCGTAGCTGAAGTCGCAAGGACGATGGGTTGTAGTCGACGGACTGTTTATGATTTACAGACGCGTCTACAGCAAACGGGTACCACCGCTGATCGCCCTCGGCCAGGTCGACCACGTGTGACGTCACATGCAGAGGATCGTCAGATTGTCTTACGTCACCCCCGTAACCGATTTTTGACGGCTACATCAACCAGAAATGATTTGTTTAGGGGTAGACTGAGTGCGCAAACTGTTCGAAACCGTCTGAGAACTGCTCACCTTCAAGCACGACGGCCATACTGCGGGCCGATTCTGACTCAATTACACATACGTCAACGTCAATTGTGGGCACAGCGACACTTACGATGGACTCAGAGGAATTGGAATCAAGTCGTCTTCAGTGATGAATCCCGATTTAATCTTCGATTTGCTGATGGTAGGGCGAGGGTGTGGAGGCGCCGTCATGAACGTTACGCCCAGTGTTGTGTACAGGAAGTTGACAGATTTCGAGGCGGAAGTGTCATGGTGTTGGGTGCTTTCTGTGGCAATGCACGTTCCAGGCTTCTTGTCATCCGTGGCAACCTCAACGCTGCTGCTTACCGCAACCAGGTACTGGCACCAGAACTTCTGCCATTTATGGCAGCACATGGACCCGGTTTGATCTTCCAACACGACAATGCAAGACCCCACAAAGCAATTCTGACAAGGAATTTCCTTCAGAATGCGGGAGTCAACGTCATGGACTGGCCGTCAAGGTCTCCCGACTTCAATCCCATCGAACACGTCTGGGGTGCTCTTGGCAGAAGTCTGCGCACTCTCCAGAACCAACCACAGAATTTGCAAGATCTTTGCACCATTTTGCAGCAACAATGGCGTCGTCTTCCCAATCATGTGTTCACAAGCATCACAAGGTCCATGCGGAGGCGTTGTGTGGCAGTTGTCAACGCACATGGTGGCCATACACGCTACTGAACTTGTGTGCCATCAGATTCTCGTGCTTTGGACTTAAATGATGATTTTAACTGTTGATGTTATTACCGAATACCGTAGGTGCTTGGAACAAATTATGGTTACCACCGTTAATTAAAATCTTTCTTTGGACATTAATGATTGAAAATTACCTTCTCTGATACATTTGTCCGTTGTATATCATATATGGGATTACTTTTAAAACTGTGAAGTTTTTAATTTGACTCAGTATATATGGTTGAAAAGGGAGTTCTATTTGTTGTAGTAAAATAATTAATCTAGACTGGTAATATGAATAACATATGCAAGTTTCGAGTGTAGGTACCCTTGTAATTCCTTTACAAAAACGCGGTCTACATATACATGTACATGGTGTAAGTATTCAGATTCAGAGACACAAAGAGAGCATACATCATCAATGAACTTTATTTTCAATTTTCCTTTTTGGCATATATATAGCTCCATTTAGGAATCTGTACTGGAAATCTATTTGTTTACCATCATTGGTACACATAATGCAGTTAATGAAAAGATTATTCAATAATATGCCTTGGTTAAGTTCATTTTCCCATTTATCACACATTAGAGTAAAGTTAGTTGTAGCTATGAGTTTATCATAAAATATTCAGGAGCCCTTTGTTCAACAAGTCTCTCAAAATGTTATTTATGTATAAATTAGCTGTGATACAAAAAATCTGCCATTTATTACTTTTTTCCGTGATTAAGGGATATTTAGCATTACTCTGTTGTAATCAAGTAAAGTACCTTTAATTTGAAATTTGTCTAGCAATTCTTCAAATGTTAAAATCTGTTGTTGCTATATGAATCTTTTAAACTATGAATACCCTTATCAAACCAATGTTTTAAAATGAAATTATATTTAAATTGGTGACTGAACCAGATTGGCTGTGATAAAATCTCTTCAGTACTTGTTTGTTAACTTTATGTTTCCTTAAATAATTACCCAAAATATTCAATATATCCCTCCAAAATGGATTTTTCAAAGTAATAAACTTATCAATATTTGCACCCAAAAGGAAGATTGAAAGTTCTTTAATGCTGACAAAGTCGTTTTTTGTAATCTTCTCCTTAAAAAAATAACTTCAATGAAATCAATAAATTTTCGGGTATCAGTCATTCTCAGGCCAAGTTTTTTCACATTTCCTTATCCAAGTAGATTCTTTTATTTTTTCTGGTTTGTTATTCCAAATGAATGTATAAAATAGTTTATTCAATTTTCCAATAAAACTATCGGGTAGGTTTGGAAGTGGTGAAAAAATATGAATTTATGTTGATAGAGCCAGAGTCTAAATAATGTATAGTTGTCTTTTTTGCAGCTTCCCAATACCCTACTAATATGGTCGAGTCTTTTTCTTGTATTTATTACCCATAGATCATGTAATGTGAGATTAAATATTATTCCCAAGACTTTTCCCTGATACCAGTCTAGAGTCCTCACACAGTTTGATGCTAACCTATCTGAACTTATCCATATAGCTTTTGTTTTGTCAGTATTTACCTTAAGGCCAGATATTCTAGTGAGTGAGTGAGTTGGTTTTAACGCCGCTTTTCACAGTATTCCAGTTATATCGCGGCGTGTCAGCTTAAAGTGGGAGGAAAGCCCGAAGTGATGCAGGTCTCAGACGTTTACCACTTCGGTGAAACCCACGAGCACGGGTATGGTGCTGACAAACCTAGAAACATAATCGGGGTGAACCGGGATTCGAACCCACAATCATAGGTTCCTGGCGTGCCCAAGGGACGCAACTCTGCACAGCGAATCGCGGCGCCTTAGACGACTGGGCCACCCGTGCCCCCCCCCCCCCCCCCCCCAATGATTTGTGATGTCTCTACAAAACAAAAGATAACCTAATCGATGTTATCATCATTTTATTTATTTCCATTGTGTCTATAGATTCTCAAAGTATAGAAATGAGATCCCAATAAATAAGACACAGACTAATATGGTATTATGTTATTCTCTACCTGGGTTGCCATTACAGTAAACTACGGTTATAACGAACACGCTTATAACGAACTGACGGATATAACGAACTTACTTTTTGGTCCCGACTACTTGCTGTAGTCATTCTGCATATGTACTTATAACGAACTACGGTTATAACGAACTAAAATTAGTAGTCCCTTTGAGTTCGTTATAACCGTAGTTTACAGTACATATCTGAGGTAGCAGGGGGTACTTTGCTGTGCATCCGTCTAAAAATGGTGTTGCTTAAAGCTGTCTAACAAACTGGAGATTACTCAATGTAGCGTGGCATCATCATTGAACAGGCACACCAAGTTCTAGTGACTCACCATGTTCTCATATGGCGAATGTCTATATGTAAGGCCATAAATACACATGTAAGGCCATAAATACACATGTAAGGCCATAAATACATGAATCCCAACATATGGGGACTTATTCTATCTGAATAAAACGGTCACAACCCCACAGCCAGGTGTGTTCAACTTGGCGACCGAGCTGCATGTAACACGTGGGACATTTATAGATCATTAAAAAGGACAATATTGTAACGGATGTGTCCTGTCAAGGGATTTATAGATTAACACGTGGTCAAAGATATATTTACAATCGCTATTGTGAACTACTTATTTCTATGCGCCAATTAAATTCAAAAAAAGGGGTTCGGAAACGAAATTAACTCGCAAAAACGTACAGGAATTTGCTTATGTTACCAAATTATGTTGTTATATTTTCAACATTACTTAATTACCCAATTTGATATTTGAAAATGGGATCGGGTCATCGTGTCCCAAATGCGTGGATCGATGCTCATGATGTCAATCACTAAATTGTCTGGTCCAGACTCGATTA